TAAATAATAAATTTACTTCTTAGTAACACGTGGGTTAACATCACATGGTAAGAAAATGATCAATATATTACAGTTAAGTATACTGTTCCGATTACTTACAACCTGGCAGCTTCATGTATATTTAGTTCAGTTATCAATAAAAAATTAAATTAGAATTTGATACATTAAGATACATCATGAATCAATTTATTATTAACTAATGGAAATACATGTTTAATTGTTCCGAGCATTGCGTAAAACCTGGCAGTTTCATGTGCCTTTGTTTCAGTTATCAATAAAAAATCCAATTAGAATTTAATACATCAAACATATCATGAATCAACTTATTATTAACCAATGGAAATACATACTTAATTGTTGAAAATTGAAAATTGCTATCACTCGTAGTACGATGGGATTCGGAAAAATGGTAGGGGCGAGTTCCAGCGGGTGGATAATGAACTCTCAGTGTCCCCAGCTTACGACTTACTCGGTAGATGCTGCACCAATCTCACAATTTAAATTTTTCACCAAAGATATTCAGATGGTGAATATTAAGGATGGGCTGTCCGATCAGGAAGTTCCGAACAGAGTAATCAGTAAAATTTACCTATTTCCAATAAAAAAAAGTATCGTTTTAACATAACAGATGAATTCTGATATTTCCTCAAAAATCAGTTACAAGTCTTTAATCACCCCTGTTATAGGATATATCCCTAACCATTTAATAAATTTCACCAAGGTTCCTATAAAATATTATAGTGAAACCTGAGTTAATCAATCAGGCGGTAAATTTAGCCTTGCCAGCCTCGCAAAAATTAGGCGCTGTAATTTCAAAAAAAAAATCGTTAAAACCCTTTACGGTCATTTTTTAAATTTATTTTTCAGATTAAAAAGAAAACACCGTGGAAAAGAGCGTTAAATTTCCTTCAAAAAGACACCTTCCTAGTAATAAATTAATTTCTGGTTAAAAAAAAACATTAAATCTGTAAAAAACTGATAAATTCAAAGCTAGTAAAAACGAAGTTTGCAACCCCATATTTCAGTGTATACAAGTAAAACTACTCTTTCACGAGAAACAAAAGTTTTAAGACAACAGCGTTGAAATATCAGCTACCCAAACTCATGTCATGTTAATAACATTACAAAAAAGATTACAAATAAAAATGCAATTAATTTTCCATGATTAAAAAATGAAGTTACTCTCCAAATGATCTTACGGTAACATGGATTAATATTTTGTTACTAAAAATTAAACGGACTAATGGCGATATGAAATTAAACACGTGAAAATAAAATCTCTAGTTTGTCGGTGCCTTGTAGCGTTTGTACCTATTATACACCCATATTTTGCGACAAAATCTAACAGACAAAAGTTTAGAGCATCTGGGAACACTAGTAAAACTTAACTAAATTAAACTTAACTAAGCACGTACTGTAAAAAAGTAGCTCACGTGGTAGAGTAGCGGAGTACCTAGCCGAAGGTCGTGGGTTCGAATCCCGCTCGTGACACTGATTTTTTTATCTAAACTAAAAACCTTAATTAATTGAAAGATATTAATTGCTCAAGTAGACCACGAAAACTAGTGACTTTAATGTTAAAATGAAGTTATCTTCACGAAAGCTTTCCGTGGCCATTACATTTGTTGCCGAGAATCAAATAGATTGCAAGGCATTTGAAAAATGGCAAAAAGGAGGGAAAATTCAAAAGGCGGGGTTGTGATGGGAAGTTAGTGTCCGAGCGGATCGAGGTCACGATAGCTCAAGTGGTAGAGCAGCGGCGAATCTAGCCGAAGGTCGTGGGTTCGAATCCCGCTCGTGACACTGACTTTTTTTATCTCAACTAAAAACCTTAATTATTTGGAAGATATCAATTGGTCAAGCGGACCACGAAAACTAGTAGAATTAAACAGTAAGTTAATAAAAATAAATCAATCTAGTAAGTTATTGACAAAGAAATTAGTTACTTCGACCTCAGCGCCCCTGCGAGCACCAGCTCGCTATCGATCTTTAAAATTATAGATAAATTCAAATCCCATTTATAAAATGGGGGAATGTTAATTCTACATTTAAAATATTGGCTCAGTTTATAATTTATTTAAAAACACTACAGAAACAAGAAAAATAGCATTTTTATAAAAAATGAAAAATAATGACTTCGTAAATCATTATTATCTTCATTTAGAAACGATTCAAGTGCACCGTGGCAGTCGGTGGCAGCTACTGTTTATTTAAAACGTTTAAGATTTTTTCGACGACTCATTTAATAATCCTGACCCGTTTATACAGACTAGGATGTTCCGGAAAATTTTCAGTAACAAATATGTATCCGTTGAAATTCCAGTAATTTTCATTACACAAAAATGATAAAAAAGCGCTTTTCAACATTAAAAATTTTTAGTTATGATATATTTTTTACTATTCTTTTCTGGTTATTGACATTTTATATTTCTTTGGTTTCTTTTGGGGAACTGGACAACCATCATACTCATTTCCTTTTTATTGATATCGATTTTCATGTGTTTCCAAAAGAAAACGAGACTGAGGCCCCTAAATATAAAAAAAAAATATAATGATTGTCTAGTTCCCCAAAAGAAACCAAAGAAATATAAAATTCTCATATATGAATTATCGAAAATATGGAAACGTTAATTTTTAAAGATAAAACAATCCATACTATAATTAGATAAAAACTTTAAAATATTGCTTTGTGAAACTCAGTCAAATTTGTCCACATTTTGAGGGGTTTCATACTTTGGAGTTTAAAAGTTTTTGTAGCGTCCTTAAAACCGGTCACAAAACACCTTAGATCCGCCTAATGGTAGATACCGTCATAAAACCATAATTAGCAATTATACGTTTTTTCTCCTTGAAGCCTACTGTGTTCTTATTAGCTAGGAATTCTATGGAGCCAGTGAAGAGCCCTAGAAAACACATGCTACTGCGTATGTACTTGACATGGACAAGGGCAAATTAGTGTAGTTTCCACAGTGTCGAATTTTTATACTGGCGTAGGTAGCTACATCAAACCTGATGGCTATTTACATATTACTAATAGGGTGGTTCTCTCGGTTATCACATTCACCTTTAAAATATTAAATTCACTAGTTTTCGTTGTCCGCTTGACCAATTAATATCTTTCAATTAATTAAGGTTTTTAGTTGGGACAAAAAAGTCAGTGTCACGAGCGGGATTCGAACCCACGACCTTCGGCTAGATACGCCACTGCTCAACCACTTGAGCTATCGTGACACTTACTTCCCGTCTCAATACCACCTTTTGAATTTTCCCTTATTTTTGCCATTTTTCAAATGTCGTGTAATCTATTTCATTCTCAGCGACAAATGCAATGGCCACGGAGAGCTTTAGTGAAGATATACTTCATTTAACTTAGTAAATTCATTAGTTTTCGTGGTCCGTTTGAACAATGAATATCTTTCAATTAATTAAGGTTTTTAGTTGTGATAAAATTAAACTTTAACTTTAAAATATTGTTGAAAAAACTCTTCTAAACAGATTAGAACCATCTATAAAGAATGCCAATTTAATGCCGGATCATCAATTTTATTTTGAACAAAAGTAGTCAAAAATCAGACGCAGCACATTGCTGAGTCAGTCGAATGCAGTGGTGGTATAACAAATGGTTAGGTCATATATATAAATTTCTATATATACAGACGGGTCTGATAATGTTCATGTTGGTATGGTTGCTATATCCATCAATTTACTATAAAATTGACGGTGGATGTTAGCCGAAAAGACGGTAAACGAATGTAAGAATGACCTCGGCTAGTAGAAACATGCGGTCGTGGGTTCCATCCCCAACGTCGCCTCGGAACTTTTTTCTAGCGTCTAAGGGGACCGTCTGATGGCACATGCAGATTCTACAAGGAGGCAGAAGAGACACCAACACGTTTACTAACAAACTGCGGAGCGACACTAGCCCCCATGAGGAAATGTTTTGGGATATACAATGTGACCATAGAAGAGCTTCAACCATTGTCACCGGGCCTATTAATCAAGTTTCTTGATGAAATATGACTCACTGATGTGCTTTAGGTAGAGCACGGGGGACCGGTGGAAGGGGCGGGATCAGATCTCAGCGACCCTGAATTTGGTCCCAACCCCCTTCAAAAATGAGTTTCTTCCATGGAAGAACACCGGCACACCGGGGGCTCAAATTCACACTTGTGTTGTGAGCTCCCAAAAGTGAAGCCAGGGATAAAGTACAATAAGCTGTACAACTTCAGTGCTCAGGGGTACTCCTCCAGTTCGAGTATCCATTGGGGAAGAAAAAGAAAAGAAACAGCACATGAGCTGTCAACTTGATTTGTTTACTCTCTTTCACTGTTTTCGGCCCAAACTTTTTCTGCATATTTCATATTCATTGCGGTTATCTCCCAAACCTTTCGGACGTGTTTGAGTTACATCTAAGGTCGTCTATAAAGTTACGTACTTCTTGTGAAATCTAATTACAGAAAACTGGGACGTACTGAATTTATGGATAGATTTTGGTAAAATGTGAGAGATGTTTGTTTAATATCTAATGGATCTTTATAAAATTGTCGTTGGGAAAAGAAATGAACTTTAGCGTGAGGGGGGTTTGTCTGCTTGGGGATGAAAACGAACAACAGAGGAAGAAGGCAGGATTTACGCTATCGAGGAACAGCATTTACGAGGTAAGTTTGAACAAAAGCAGCAGTAAGAAGGGAAGTTTTAAACCATCTTTTTCGTTATTAGGCCTTACGAATGGGGATATTTTTCGGCACGGTTAGACTGATAAGGTTTCAGACTTTTTAAAGGTAAATTTTTATCAAATGCATCAATCATTATAACGGAAATGCGGAATTTTAGTTTTAACACGCCTAATATCTAGTAGGATCATTCTGGACGTCATTTTAGTGAGGTGTAAATGTATTATTTTCCTTGTAAATGTATATCAATTGTGAAACTAAGAATAATTTTTTATTTGTTTTTGACCTGAAGAGTAATAAAGTGGGATTAATTAATACCGTTTTTTGATTAAATTTATGTCTTTTAATTATTTGCAAAACAAAGAATTCGTAAAAAGTTGGGATCGCGTTGTTAGAGGCGTCTTATTCATATTCAGAGCGGAGAGAACAATTTCATTATAACTCACCATGATATGATGCGACTTCCTGGAGGAATTTCTCTGTTGTGAAATGAGCCTCGAGAGCCTCTGTGCCCTCTGCTGTGTCGTCGGGTTGGCCGGAAGCTGCGGCGGGGGGTCTTCGTAGATTCTCGTGATCCTCGCCGTGTCGTCTGTCTGTCTGCTCGGGGAACGGGACACGGTCGAAAGGGGGACGGTCCTAGCGATCATAGTCTCCGCGGTCACGTCACCGCTCGAACCATAGTAGCGTTTCATGTTCATCAGGTCGCCGATGCTTCCCGAAGGCGTGTGACCTAAATGGTACTAAATTTTTCAAGCCGGCCTTTGATACGTATAAGTCCATTTTTTTTAAAACCCGGCCCGAGAAAAAAAATTCCTTCTAACGTATTTCAAATAGATTCGCAGTTGCGCAAGTTCTCCCAAACATTAAAATAAACTCCATTCTTGTCAACATATCTATTTCTATCTCCAATTGATACTAATCAGTGGCAACGGTGTTTAGTCTTGATAGGCGGATTTGAACTAATTTTTAAAATCTTTTTTAGAAGGAATATCTGGTGAATGTGTAGGTAGTGAAAGGATTTCCATTTCTCGATCATTTAACATTTGGACCATCGAAAGCGTTAACACGGACGCGAGCTTGTGCAGAGCAGTATTCACACATTTCGGATTACCTAGGAGTTATTTTGTTCTAAATTTTCATATTCATTTCCTCTCAGATATTCCGACATCTAGCAAAAAATAGTGGATTAAACGAACTATAAAGGGTTACTCTGAAAGTTCCCGGTTAGGATCTCAGTGCCTTCGAATTCGAATACGACATACTCACGAATTAATTTTATCAAAAACTCCGGAACACCAACGGTTGTTATTATCTCGTAGTTAAAATACTCCCGATAAAAATTTGTAAAAATGATGTAAAAAAATGTATATAAATATGGAAAAATATTTATAAATATTAAATTCACTAATTTCGTGGTCCGCTTGACCAGTTAATATATTACGATTAATTAAGCTTTTTAGTTGAGATAAAAAAGTCAATGACACGACCGGGATTCGAACCCACGATCTTCGGCTAAATTAACTAATCACGTACTGTAAAAAAGTAGCTCAAGTGGTAGAGTAGCGGCGTATCTAGCCGAAGGTCGTGGGTTCGAATCCCGCTCGTGCCATTGACTTTTTTATCTCAACAAAAAACCTTAATTAATCGTAATGTATAAATATGTTAGATTAGCGGCCTCCAATAAGCGTAGAACTGATTCAAACCATTCTTATTGAAGAATTCTAAAGACAAAATCCGCTCACTTATTTCCTCGATACCAACGAAACTTAAGGCCCCTTAAAAAAGCAAAATTATGCAATAAACTATCAGTTAAATTTCAATGTATCACTAAATGATTTTCGGTGTTTTGGTTAATTTTCTTTTAAATCATCATAATTAAATATTTTTTATTAAAACTCTGGAATTTTTGATCACCTATAATTTGCGTTACATTAGAATAATTATTTTGTATATAACATAACGAAAAGTAAATATATTGAAGTTTAAAACGTAGTTTATAATTTTTAGCGAGAATCAAATAGATTACACGACATTTGAAAAATGGCACAGAGGGGAGAGAAAATTCAAAATAGGTGGGGTTGAGATGGGAAGTTAGTGGCCGAGCGGATCGAGGTCAAGATAGCTCAAGTGGTAGAGCAGTGCGGGTCTAGCCGAAGATCGTGGGTTCGAATCCCGCTCGTGGCACTGACTTTTTTATCTCAACTAAAAACCTTAATTAATTGGAAGATATTAATTGGTCAAGTGGACCACGAAATTAGTGAATATAATATTTATAAATATTTTTCCATATTTATATACATGTCATTTTTACATATTTTTATCGGGAGTATTTTAACTACGAGATAATATCAACTGTTGGTGTTCCGGAGTTTTTGATAAAATTAATTTGTGAGTTTATTATTATAATTTATTTGTTTATAATGAACGACAAACTATGAGTTTCCGGTATTTTTGTCTTTGAGTGTATAATTCATCTCAAATAACTGTATAATATGAATTTAATCCTTAGTTAACTTGCAGTTTAGCAAAACTGTATTATGGAGTTATAAATTATTTATTTGAGAAATAAAGTTCATCGTAAGAAATGAAGTACATGGATACATTGCAAGGAACTCAATTTGACTTTTTCTGTGGGACCATTTAAAATACAGTGCATAAATCATAACCCAGCAACCTCAGTTGAAGAACTGTGGTGAAGGATAGAAAATGATTTCAAATCCACCTTCTATTACTCTATCGCTCTGAGCACTAGCGAAGAGTGGTTAAAAAGAGCAAATCTTTCCAACTTGTAGCAAGACAGGCAGTTCGAACATGTGATTAATAAATAGCAAATTAAATGACTGTTTTTTTTTCAAACGTTCTGCTGTGAGTTTGTCAGTTTTTGACCAATTTAAAATCCGATGCACCATTGTTTTCATCACAAAAACCCCTCAAAATGCTGTGCCGGGATGTATGGGTCGTATTTCAAATTTTGAAGTTGAACTGGATGTGAGGTACCCTGTATAATTTTTCTCCAAAAAACTGAAAATTTTAAACTCGACTAAAACAAGTTTAAAAGTATATTTTGATACCGTCATTGGTTCATGAGAAATGAGGCCATCTAATAAGGACACCCTGTATTTTCATGGCATACGGAACAATAATGAAATGACTAAAGTTAATTATTTTTTTAAGAAACAGAGGCAACATAAAATGTATTATGCAACTGTTCGAAAAGAGTAAGAAAAGCATTATTGTATCTAAAAAACACCTCATTTGAACCATACAGGCCTTGCTACTTTTCGGCTGTGAAGAATTGTTTTCTTTATTAAAGAATGAAAATTATCTGTGAAACAATAGACCACAGTTTAAATGCTGAAAGGCAAATTCCCTACCAAACTGAAAGAAGAAGAAAATAAATCTTATCAATGCCCTAGAAAAATTTAGTACACCTTTTCCGTGATAATTGCAAACAATAATAAATGCTAATGAGCTTTACTCAACCCTAAACCTTTATGTAAAAATTGGTTTTACATAAATATTTAGTGTATAAATACTTTTGAACTCATACGGTTAGAATTTTCTATATCATGAATCTTGTCTACTGGCCAGAAAATTTTATGTAGCTAAGTGATTACTATATAAAATGATAAATAAACAATAAATTGTCATAAAATTGATACAATAAAAATCGGCACTAAGCAAAATTTTTTCTTCTTAGAGTAGCTCATCACTATTTTAATTTAGATTCAACGATCAATTAATATTTCCTAACAGCAAGTGCAGGAAATAAATTTCAACTCTTTTTCCACTGCATTTGATGAAGATTCACTGAACGAAAGTTGTTATGAATAGTTTGTCCGGAGAAAGTCTATGCCTTGGGGATATGCGGGCGCGATAGTCGTACCGTGTCAGGGACATGGAGGTCGCGACAACGCTTCTGACGACTTGGTTTTATTCTTCCGAGTTGTACAAACAAACAAACCAAATTCTGTGAGAATAGGAACAATGGAGAGCTTCTCTCAATCTTGAGCCACTAAATCTTTTTATCCCATCTAATCTATGAATTAGCAGCTTAAACATCAGCCATTATTATAGAAACTATATTTTACAGAGAAAATATGGTTATATGTGAAAACAAAATGTACCAAATAAGAAGCATCTTAAACATAAAAATGAAGTTATGCACGTGAGCAACAGGATTCTTACTAAATATTTAATTATTTACAATTTCACGAAAAGTGCATTTAAGTCTTCATATACAAGAACAATGAGTTAAAAGTGTGAAAATATTAATGACGTAATTGTGTTTATTTATTAAAACAATTCAACAACTTCTGACTACTAGAAAACCAAGTTTTGTAGTTTCGATAATTAACTCTTAATATTTAAAATTTAATAGACATCAACCAAAGAATATTATTTTATGAATTACTACTCGATTCCATGAATTAATTTACGAATTTGAAAAAATGTCAAAAATATTATTTCCCCTATGGAATGTGAGAGAATATCAGTCAACCAAAATTTATTGCAGAAATGATAAATGTGGAGTGAGTGTGTTGTTCAATCTTGTTAAAAAGGTAGTTCCTACTCACATTAAGTTGTTTGCAATGATCCGGATTTCAAGCCTACAGCGCATCATCAGATTGAAGGAGCTGTATGATCTGATGATGAGCTGTAAGCTCGAAATCTGGATCGTTTAAAACAACTTACTGCGAGTAGGAACTATCTTTTTAAAAAGATTAAAATTTATTGTTGTCAACAAAACATTTTATGGACCCTCACATTTTTAAAGTTAGGGCCGGTTTCGCGATAGTTCCTACTCGCATTAAGTTGTTTGCAATGTTCCGGATTTCGAGCCTACAGCTCATCATCAGTTTGAAGGAGCTCTATGACCTGATGATGAGCTGTAGGCTCGAAATCTGTATCGTTTAAAACAACTTACTGAGAGTAGGAACTATCTTTTTAAAAATATTAAAATTTATTGTTGCAAACAAAACATTTTACGGACCCACACACTTTTAAAGTTACGGCGGGTTTTGCGAGAGTTCCTACTCACATTAAGTTGTTTGTAATGATCCACATTTCGAGCCTACTGCTCATCATCAGGTTGAAGGAGCTCTATGACCTGATGATGAGCAGTAGGCTCGAAATCTTGCTTGTTTAAAACAACTTACTGTGAGTAGGAACTATCTTTTTAAAAAGATTAAAATTTATTGTTGTCAACAAAATATTTTATGGACTCACACTTTTATAGTTACGGTGTGTTTTCTCGATCAACTATTATACGAACGAATTTTTAAATCATCACTGAATAATTATAGGCGTTCAAATAACTTTATTGACTGACAATTGTTTCTATTCAATTAATTAAGCTTTTTAGTTGAGATAAAAAATAATTGGTTATCGGTAATTAATTAATTGAAAGGTATTAATTGGTCAAGCGGATCACGAAAACTAGTGAATTTAATAAGTTAAAATGAAATATACCTTCACTAAAGCTCTCCGTGGCCTTTTCATTTGTCGCCGAGAATCAAATAGATTACACGACATTTGAAAAATGCCAAAAAGGAGGGAAAATTGGGTTGTGAAGGGAAGTTAGTGTCCGAGTGGATCGAGGTCACGATAGCTCAAGTGGTAGAGCAGCGGCGTATCTAGCCGAAGATCGTGGGTTCGAGTCTCGCTCGTGTCACTGACTTTTTATCTCAAATAAAAACCTCAATTAATTGAAAGAGATTAATTGGTCAAGCGAACCACGAAAACTAGTGAATTGTTTCTACTGTTATTTATTAAGTCATATCCCGAGGAATGTCCAATATAGACGAAAATTTGGAAACCGTTAAATAGCGGATCGACCATAACACTTAAACACAGGTCACTGCCAATCCTAGATTAACCTAACCTTCCTAATTGAAACAGTTTATTCACTATCTTTTCTTCATGAGTTAGCTAGTTCATATTAATTATATTTGTCAAAATTTGACAACCTCGTGATGAATATTTTCTCTACAGAAAAGATCCATTCAAGAGACAACAGAATAATTTTCGGACACTCCAACCCAATTTAATTTAGTAATATAAATAATACTTATTTTTCAATATGTTCATACATAAGCTGTACTAAGTAGAATTATCAAGCACTTTAACATTATTGTTATTTTTGTAAGCGATAAAAACGTTTAAAAAATATATACTTATTCTTCTCCTATTAGATGACATTTTTTTAATTTGTGCGAAATTAGTACCTGCATCTAGTGATATACATGATACATATTGTGTTATTTAACAAAATTAACAGTTGCACATATGCAAACATACATAGCATTAAAAATTCACAAGGCATGAACGCTGGAATAGGTAAACGCTCAAAACCTAATGGTTATTAAATTGGAAGCTTGGCCACTGTCGTTTAACGGCAAATTGACCAGGCAGGATTTTCTAGGGAGAATATTTGTTAGACTTGAGGGCTAGTGTGTATTCTCGTGGAGTTATGGAATTTTGTGTAACGGGAAAGTATGAGTTCTTTGACAAAACGAATTTGTAGGTGGGTGTGTGATAGAGTAAGGTTCCATACCTAGTAAGACCTTATGGAGAATTTTGGCTGCTGTGAATCTTTTGAATTGTAACGTTTGAAATATTGTACGGCGGAGTGTAAATGTAGATACATTTATTTTGACAAATTTTTATTCTACAACTTTTGAACCATGGATGGCTGACGTTTAAATGAAATTGGTTGTTGAGGGAAAGGTTATGTGTGGCATCGGCGTATGTAGCAATGACTGTGTTATGATTTGAAGGGATACCGGCAAGGTATATGGCGATACGTCAGCCCCCAAGGAAGAAAGAGGTAAGATCTGCAGGTTTTCTGCTTGGTAATAGTTACCAATAGGATATGAAGGTTCTTAGCAGCAGGTTTACGGTTGAGGGGATGAAAGCCTTTAACTTGGGAAAAAGCACCTGATGCCAGATTCGATTGAAGGCGTGCGCCACATCAAAACAAATAAGGCAATATTCCCTTCGTTCAAGGCTGGGAGAGATGACATCTTCAAATCGATGCCTCTGATGATTAGTGCTGTGGTGTGAACGGAAGCGACATGGGTGTCTTAGTATCATGTTTTGGGAGGTTAGAAAGGGAAAGATAGATCAAATGAGAATTTTTTGGGGGGAAATGGCAAAAAGGAGGGAAAATTCAAAAGGTGGGAAGTTAGTGTCCGAGGGGATCGAGGTTACGATAGCACAAGTGGCAGAGCAGCGGCGTATATGTGCCACAAACTCAGACAAATTAATCGCAAAAAGACAATAATCGGGACCTGATCCGAATAAATTATAACAACAACCTTCTAAAAAATATGTATTCAGATTAAAAAACAAAATAAAAATAAGTGATCTGTGACATGCACAACTCCTTGCCATTTACAAAAAAGAGCAGGTGGCTTCAACAACTTGAAAGAGAGTCCTTCCTCGTCCTTTTGTCTCTCAGCTCGCACTGCCCAGCCAGCGGTGGTGATTAGCTTATCCTTTGAGATAAATCTCATTGTTGAAAATATTGTTATAAAAAATTCCCCCAAAAAAACTAAAAGAAAAAAACAAGAAAAAAAGAAAATTATTGGTAATCACGGTTGATCACATATGTTTATATTGTAATATTAGATTTATAGAATTATTGAAATTAATTTCTTATTTTATGGCACTTTTTTATTTATTTATTTTTTTAAATATTTATTTACATTGTGTATTATTGAAATTAATTGTTTGTTTTATGGCAATTTTCTATTTATTTTATTTTTTTAATATTTATTTACATTGTGTATTATTAAAACGGTAAAAGCTGTAATAATACTACGAAATTTTGGAAAAAACTGGAATGAACACTTACAATATAAAACCTAGTCGCAGTTAATTTTCATATATCTTTAATTGACAACAAACAAGATAATACTTTCTTTTGGGGGGAGGAATTTTTTATAACAATATTTTCAACAAAGAGGATTATTTCAAACGATCTCCCCAACCTCGGGCTCGGCAGTGCGAGCTGAGGGACAAAAGGACGTGGAAGGACTCTCTTTCAAGTTGTTGAAGCCACCTGCTCTTTATTGTAAATGGTAAGGAGTTGTGTACGTCACAGATACATATACACACTTATTTTCCCTATTATTGTCTCTTTACGATTAATTAGTTTAATTTAATGGCACAGATATTTTTATTATTTTTATTTTACACTCGTGAGTGAAACGAGTTGCTTCATGTGAAGGAGATCCACGGAAAGATCGTAATAAATATTATATCACTTTATGATATCAGATTTTTTGTCACTTTACGATTAAGACTTTTCCCTTTTTTTATAACTATTTTTACTATTATTTCATTATTATTTTTTCTCTAAACAACGACCTCCGGCAGACGGATCGTAGTCAATGCCTGTACTATGCTTTGTAAATAATCAAACAGCTCTATTAAAAAAAAGTTAATTCTGCTGTAAATGTCATACACCATTGGAAAGAGCATTAAAAATATCTTTGTTCATCTTTTGTAAGCATAGCAAACAAAATACAAATTCACATAGTAAAACGTTTACGAGTTTCCACATGTATTTGTCTAAAGTTTTAGTTATAATTTTTCACTTTTAACTCATCATAATTTTATTTAATGAATTTTTTTTATTTTATAAAATGATAAACTTACAGTAAATTTGATTACAATGATAAAAATACGTTTTCAATCAATTAAGGTTTTGGATGAGTTAAAAAAGTCAGTGTCACGAGCGGGATTCAAACCCACGATATTCCGCTAGATACGCCGCGTCTCTACCACTTGAGCTATCGTTACTTCGATCCACTCCGACACTAACTTCCCATCTCAACCCAACCTTTTGAATTTTCCCTCCTTTTTGCCATTTTTTAATCTCGACCAAAACCTTAATTAATTGAAAAGAATTTATTTGGTCAAGCGGACCACGAAACCTAATAAAAAGATAAAAATACGATTAAAAAATAAATAAAATATTCCAATTTTTTAAGAATACAATCCTAACTTATTTTTAAAAGCTTATTGTTTTTCTGTTCAATTTTGTACCAAAGAGTAGTTTTTGATTTAATTTTTATTATCTTATTTCTTTAAGTTTACATTCTGTGTAATTTGGTTTATTAATCCTCTACGGTTACATTTAAAAAATTAATCTTAAATGGTTTTTAATGCTTTTTCTAATGCTTTAATGAAATTTACAGTAGGATTGTAAATTTATTAGATTCGAGGGATTTTGTGAAATAATATTGCGAAAGGTTAAAGTAACCTAAAATAAGGAATATCACGAATACAATGGAGAATAAAATTTTAGACAATAGGAGTTTTTGGTTCAATTTGACATGTATGATAACTTCAGTATTGATGCCTGTTTTCAGGACTCTCTGTAAAGCGTATATCTCGAGAACTCTACTGGAGTGAATTGTATGCAAATAGGAAAAAATGAATGAGTAACGGCACATAAATATATAACAATAACAAGATTGGCTTGAAATAGTTTTACTTTTTTTTTGACGCTGCGAGAGTTTTGTAAAAATTTCTTATGTATTTAATACAATTATTGCGTAGAGTAACCTTGTACGTAATAAGAAAAATCTAGGTCTGCGTATGTTTGGACAGCGATGAATAAGTTTCATCAGACCAATTTTGCACGTTTCATTCAGTTAGGCCAGAATTTATTTATTCAAAAAATTCCAGGAGGTAAACTAGTCGGATTAAAATGTATTCAGTACCCTGATGGGGCGTCAGTCGTGTATTCCCGTCTGTCTGCTGGGCCGGCCGGCCGAGCTCGGTCATCGAAGAGCCTCTTCTCATCCTGAGGCGTAGCGGAGGCTCGCCTTCCGATTGCCTCGAACGTAGTTCCAAACTGGCCGAACTCTTGAGCGATAAGAGACCAGCTTTCAAAGGGAAAAGAAGAGCCCATTCCGTGCTCCTCTGGTCGTTCTTATGCTCCATCACAACTGCCACATCCACACATCCAAAAACGGCACTTCACAAGGTGGACGGTAGGACACTGCCGTCGTTCCGTCTTTACCGCCTCATGTGGAAGGGGCGACCTGTTACATGAGAGTGGGGGCACCCTCACACGTGATTAGATACACTCATAACATCAAAAACGGGTAATTGCCACCATCTCTAACACCTTACACAAATAAATAGCACAAACCTCTATATATTTTCTTATGTAAATTATGGCATTCTGTCGTAACAATAAAAAATAATTCAACACAAAAGCTAACTAAACTTTTAAAACGAAATATTTCAAAAGTTGTGCACAATATATCTGTATTTTATTTAATTTTCGGTCAATTTCGAGCAATAAAACATTCATCGAAGTTAAATTTTGTTGAAAATGTGTCTTCTGATTTGAATTTTTATACATCTGCTCTCCTGGATTTAAATTTATAAAACACAGACACAAATAGTTATAAAAAAAACGCTTTTATTTCTTTAAACAAAGAAAAATCTGATAATAAAAATCAAAATTTAGTATCAAAATCTAACTTTTACACATTATCTAGCTTAATATTCCTAATAAAAAAGTTGTTTTTTATTATTCGGAAATCGTGAGATGCGGTCTGGTGTGATGTAGGTTTCAGAAAAACATTTTCTTTATCGTACCAACGTTTCGATCTTTATTGAGATCATCTTCAGAGCTTGAGATTTACATACATTGTTTAAATTTAACAAATGCATGTAGAATGTGGACTTTTTTCCACATTCTACAAGTATTTGTCATACATCATAACAGACCGCATCTCACGATTTCCGAATAATCATTGACTAACGGTCACAAATCACGTCACATTTCTACACGAGTTGTTTCTTTATGTTTTGGTTAGTGTTTTCCTTCAGTTTTTCTTTCTTCTGAAGCCTTAGCGGTTAAAAAAACGCTATTTTTCAGGCGAGGCACAAACTTAAAATGTTTTCAGTTGGGACGTAACCTTGATTGTCTTCGATAGTTTAGAAAATATGTAACTATAAATTATAACGGCATTGGCTAACTGGAAGATTTTCCAACTAAATTTGGGACGGGTTGCCATTAAGTCTATACATACAATGACGGTAATGTAATATTATTGTCGTGTTCTCGATATCCTAAGAAAGAATCAGGTAAACTATGTTCCCAAGTTTTCTACAAATTTAGCTTGGAAGAGATAAACAACACAAAATCCTACTGACAATGCATACGCCAAAAGAAACAGGAAAATCGAGCACAAATGATAGGAGGTTTTGTAAGATTTAGAAGACTTTAATTTGTTTTATAATATGTAAGGAGTACAAAAAAGAGTTCAACGAAATATATTGTCAAAATAAGAACGAAAACTATTTAAAAGAAATATCATTTAATACAAAAAGAGCTTAAATAATCTTTTAAGCAAGGTTTTTTGTCGTTTTGTTCTTAATCAAAGAAATAACATTTGTTATACTTTCTTGGTTGTTATCGCAAAAAAGAAAAGGGAGTTTTCAATTTTTAATGAAATTTGGGATGAAATTGATGTATGTAAGTGGTTCACGATAACAATCAATCTGAGAGGAAAAAAAGAAAAACGATTCTGTACAGTATGAATCCTGCTTAAATGAATGATGTGGTGATATCAAGAAATAAATACTGTATTTGACAGAATTTAAAAATTTTAAAGTTCAGACGTAATATAATCTTAAAACTGAAATTTGAAAAAATCTTGGCGAGAAAAGAAGTAAAAACATGTAAAGGACCATATTTTTGATATTAATTATTCACACAGCTTCTTTCCAGAGCTGTGAAAGATAAGTTCAATATTTTTTTATCTAGCCGAAGGGCGTGGGTTCGATTCCCGCTCGTAATGTTAAAATGAAGTATATCTTCACTAAAGCTCTCCGTTGCCATTTCATTTGTCGCCAAGAATCAAATAGATTACACGACATTTGAAAAATAGCGAAAAGGAGGGGAAATTCAAAAGGTGGGGTTGAGATGGGAAGTTAGTGTCAGTGTGGATCGAGGTGACGATAGCTCAAGTGGTAGAGTACCGGCGTATCAAGCCGAAGGTCGTGGGTTCGAATCCCGCTCGTAACACTGACTTTTTTATCTCAACTAGAAACCCTAATTAATTGAAAGATCAACTTGCTCAAAACATTCGGTGAGGTTACAACAGAATCGACAATTCTTTAAGTTTTTGCCGAACTTTCGATGATTATATCGTCATCATCAGCGCTTTAACTCGATGAGTGTTGAAATATATCTGGAAAGCAAGAAACTGCATTTATAATAAGATTAATTAAAATTAGGTGAAGCTCAGTATCTGGGTTAAACATAACTATAAGTACACGTCTCTTTTTCTTAAAATAAATAATAAAATTACTTTTCCACTGATACACAGTTAAGATTAGTTAAGCTTTTTTAGCTAAAAAAACAATATAATCGTCCTATGTTCGAATCCCACTCGTGACACTGACTTTTTTATCTCAACTAAAAACCTTAATTTATTGAAAGATATTAATTGGTCAAGCGGACCACGAAAACTAGTGAATTTTTTTAAATATATCCAGTGCTCGGATAATTATCCGATATTAATATTAATTATACAATTGTTTTTGATCATTACAACGAAGTTAAACAGATATGAAAATTATCGAACTGTTGGTACTACTTATTTTCAAAGCAAGCATCCATCTACAATATTCTTAAAAATTCAGATTCTTTTGTGAAAAACACTATCGATAAAGGAAAACCTGAAGGATTTTTTTTTTAATTTGATTTAATATACATTTATAAGTGTAATGTACATTTATAAGTACTGTTTTATAAAATTATTTATACAATATCAATGATGTATTCGATGTTTTTTCTGTTCTAAAAACATCACATATATTCAATTGTCCAAACTAGTAAAACTTTCCGAGGTTTTTACAAAAATCGACTAGGGGGATTGACCACATTAGCCGGCAACGGGGGTTCCATCGGATTACAAGGCATGCCACTTTGAAATAAGGTTCCATTTGCCACCCCATGTGGATGGACGACGGCTGAGAAAGCAACGTGAACCCGGTTTTTGCGCCTACTAAAAAATTAATGCCATCGGAAACGCCGTAATATACGTGAGTAAAGATAATAAACTAAAGAAACTAGAACTATCAATAAATATTAATGTTCTTACCGTTTTCTATAAATTAATTACTTTAATTTGTTAAATGGTTAGGAATAGTTGAATACTACGTTCTCAACGAAAATTAACCCAAGGTTATCCTGTTTCTTTCAACTAAATCAAATCAAAATATTCCATAAACCCATATAAAATCATCTTAGTCATAAGTTTGATAGAATCTTCTCATTTGGAAACCTCAGTGGTCAGGAGACCTACTCAATCAGTAAAAACACCATCGTTTAAATATTTCATACACTAAGAAAATACTTTTATTGATAAATTCATTCAATTTCTCATCAGGTATTGCTTTAATTAATAAATCCATTACAGTTCGTGGTCCGATTGAACAATTAACTTTTTTAATTAATTAATATTTATGAAAGGTATTGGTTGAGATAAAAAAGTCAGTGTCACGAACAGTATTCGAACCCACGATCTGCGGCTAGATACGCCGATGCTCCACCTCTCGGACACTAACTTCCCATCTCAACCCCTCGAGTGGATCAAGGTCACGATAGCTCAAGAGGTAGAGCAGCGGCGTATCTCAACTAAAAACATTAATTAATTGAAATGTATTACCAATTTATACTCTTAATTATTATTACCCGAATTGCCTACAATAAAATTTTTCAGTATTTATGATTTCCTTTAAAGGAGCATTTCCTTAAGTGACCGGAGAGAGATGTTAGCGGTCGAGTGGGGCGGAGGCACATTAACGGAAAGGTCCATTTTTTCTTACTATTACGACGCTTTATTTAGAAAACTAGAGTTGATTAAAAGTTGATTAAAACCGTCTGGAAAATATGGGGTGATTTTGTAGGGTCTGATAGTCGTAGAGTGTTATATTGAGTAGGTAATGAAAAGCCCATCGGCGAGGGCATATAACGGACCAGTGGATTCACGCGTTACTTCCGACCAAAAGCTCATCTTTTAACAACCGACCTTCCTGCTAACGGTCTCCTTTGACTCTAAATAACAATACCACCATCCCTATTTAAATAAAAAATGGTTTTTATGAAAATGATGCTTTTCAAATGATGTTTTTATATTTTCATTGTAAAAAGTTTCCGCAAAAAAAATTATAACTAATGGGTGAATGTATTTGTTGGCCTGCATTCAACGCATGGTACTGACTTTAACATTATTTAAACTTTTATTACTTTACGTTACTGTTTGTTTTTAATTTCAGCTACATTCATTGTGTTCTTGATTTATTTCAATTATTTGTTCATTGCCATAATTCTTCATATTGTGTTCAATGAATTTTTTTTTAAATTTAGAATTAAATGGTCAACCCTTAGTTGTACAAATTGTAATCATGAAAGCTAATAAAATGAGTATGACTGTAAGTTTATTGGTTACTGAATAAAAATACTGTTCATGAGAAAGACTAAAGAGAAATATTTGTTTTATATAAGTAAATAGTTAGAAAATAAATGTTCTAAAATATTGAAAATTAATTAAGGTTTTTAGTTGAGATAAAAAGTCAATGGCACGAGCGGGATTCGAACCCACGATCTTCGGCTAGATACGCCGCTGCTATACCACTTGAGCTATCGTGACCTCGATCCACTCGGACACTAACTTCCCATCTCAACCCCACCTTTTGAATTTTCCCTCTTTTTTGCCATTTTTCAAATGTCGTGTAATCTATTTGATTCTTGGCGACAAATGAAATGGCCACGGAGAGCTTTAGTGAAGGTATACTTCATTTTTTAATATCTTTCAATAAATTAAGGTTTTTAGTTGAGATAAAAAAGTCAGGGTCACGAGCGGAAGAGACAAAAAGAATGGAAAAAGAGATAGAAAGAGAGATTTCGAATAGAGGAGATTGAAAGCAAGAGAGAGAGAGAGAGAAAGAGAAAAGTGTGAAGAAAAGGGATAGAAAGAGAGAGTCAGTAAGTGTGATTAGGAATAGGAGCGAGCGTGAGAGAGAGAGAGAGAGAGAGAGAGAAAAAAAAGAGTGATAGATATATAAAAGAACGAACATTCCGCGGAAGAGAAAGAAAAAGTGAGTGAGAGTAAGTGAGAAAAAATACAGAGTATGATAGGGCAAAAAATGAGAGGGCGTGTATAAGAAACAATTGATGAAGGAAGCGGAAGAGAGAGAATAACAGCGTGAGATAGATAGATCGGTAGGTAGAATAGGATAGATTTTTAGAGAGTGAGAGTGAGAGAGAGAGAGAGAGTGAGTGTGTCTGAAAGAGTAAACTTGAGTGAGATAGAGTGAATTTTACGTAATTATAATTGTAAGATCACAGAAAAAAGAGGATAATACCTACTTTTTTTCGTACATTGTTATTTTATATTTAGGTTGGCTCATGAGAATTAAAAAACAAGACATTATTCGTAAATGCACAGACTGTTTGAAATTTAACTTATGTGTATTTAAACATAGGTTTATTATTATTTGTGTGTTTTTCATTACTTTTTTAAACCTTTATTGTACACAATAGCATTGTGGAGAGAAAAAATCATATGTACTACATAGTATAGAAACGGAGTCACGTCGTCGATATAAAACGGGCGATTCTGGGACTTTATGGTCAATGTTAGTAGGCAGGTTATTTGGCCAAGTCTGACTTTATACGATTTCCGTCTGAAGGATGAAAACTTTTTATGGGTTAACGAGACTAAGCCTTATTTTTTTATTACCCATATTATATAAGATGTTAATAATTCAATTTGATTATATTCACTGTAATATTACGAACGATATATTAGGAAAGAAAATTTCTGAAAAAAGGGGTAAAATAACACACTTGTGAAAGGAACGAATGACCGTTTTTTTATATATTCCACATTATACAAAAAATATGAATATAGGCAATTGTTTAATAATATTATTTTCTGTGTATGTGGAATTTCATAGGTTTTTTTTTTCATTTGTCAAATTTGATTCAAACAGAAGTGTGGAAAGCGCTCTAGTATAATAATAAATGCGTAGATTGTGCTATCACGCGGCGTCTTCCTTTCTTTTTATATTCATTTAAATAACTAGGGTGCTTTATCACCAAATGAAACAGCCCAGTGAAGAAGCAAGGATTAAAAATAATATTTTCAAAATTCATCTAAACCATCCACTAGCCGATTTTGATGAAAATGATTTGTTTTCAACTTTAGCCAACTATTATTTGGAGATCGTGAGATGCTGTCTGGTGTGACGAGGTTTAGTAAATCCATTACAGTTCCTGGTCCGCTTGATCAATTAATATCTTTCAATTAAGGTTTTTAGTTGAGATAAAAACGTCAGTGTTACGAGCGGGATTCGAACCCAACACCTTCGGGTAGATACGCCGCTGCTCTACCACTTGAGCTATCGCGACTTCGATCCGCTCGGACACTAACTTCCCATCTCAACCTCACCTCTCGAATTTTCCCTCCTTTTGGCCATTTTTCAAATCAATGTTTAGTAAGGCATTTTCCTTATCGTCTCTTTTCACCTCAAAGAAGCCGACTTCTCATATAAAAATGGATTTCTATACCTACTTCCTTTCCCACTCCTTCAAACTCCAAAGTATGTTTAAAAAAAAAAAACAATATCTCACTGGCACTCTCAACACGACACACAGCAATGACCCATCTACACAGAAAACCAACCTTGGAGTAAATACAAATACTTTGAGTGAATCAAAAATTTCAATCATCGTATGAATTCATTTTTTTACATCTTACATGTATTTGTATAATTTAAACAATGTAGGTCCTGAAAATGATCTGAATCGTTGGCGCGATAAAAAAAAGTTTTTCGAATCCTGTCACACCAGATCGCATCTCACGATCTCCAAATAATCATTAACTTTAGCCAATTTTAATCTCCATATTTTTTTTATACGTTATCTGTAGTTTCAACTTAAATACCTGTATAACTAAGTTGCAGAACGATTGGGACAAATGACTGGTTTTACATGACGATTGGGACGAAAAGTGAACACGATTGAGTCGCTAATACTAGTGAAGGGAGACACGATTGGGACGTTTGGAAATTTTATTGCAATATAAACATTTGTAATATAAACAATACATTATTTAGCTGGTAAAGGTCTCAGATAAATGGAAATTAGGTGCTGTGAATATTGCACTACGTCAAAGTGAATGAATGAATGAAATGTAAAGCGTTACTATTATTGTATTGTTGTTGCAGTCCTTTGACCCACTTTTGTTAAGGGCGCTGTAAATCTGGGAAATTTTCTTTGATCATTGGCGGTTTTATTTAATTCAAAAGAAGTCTAGAATGAGGATTTTCTGAATTAGATTCAATATTGGAAAGGAATTATTCTTTTTATGTAAGGTCCTGGTTGAGATGAAAAAGTTGGTGTCTTAAGATTAACTGGTCTTACCGTCAAGTTAGACTGTAGATAGGGTTTGGTGCATCTGTCCTTGCTGATAACCCTATGACAAACGCATTGGCTTAGCAGTATTTAACGAACACCCGTTGTTAATTAGGTTTATTAGGTTAAGTAGCTGAATGCTGAAAGTTTAAGTTGTTTGGCCTTCTCCAGTATTATAATGTATTTTTTTTTTATGCAAGGTCCTTTGTTGAGGTGAAAGATATCATGAGCGGGATTCGAACCCATGACCTTCGGCTCAATGCGCCGCTACTCTAAACACTTGATCACTTACTTCAATCCACTCGGACACCAACTCCACAGCTAAACCTACAGCCTTTCCAATTTTCCCTCTTTTTTGCCATTTTTAGACTAATAAATGGATTGGAAAGGAAATTAATTATTAAGGTCGATTTCCAAGGAAAGAGAAATATAAAATTAAGGTTTAAAGTGTGGGCACTGTCGACACGACACGCAAGAATGGCACCATTACACAGAAGGCAAACACTTTTGAGCCCTGAAGATGATCTCAAAGATCGAAACGTTGGCACGATAAGGAAAATGTTTTTCTGAAACCTACATCACACCAGACGGCATCTAACAATTTCTGAATAATTAAGGTTTAATAGTTTACTTGTTGTATGATGTTGGCTGAGTTTGCATGTATCTGTTCTGCAATTAATTTTGTTTTCGTGTCTCTGTTAATGTAAACCATTTCTAAAAATTTGCGTTTGTATTTGTTTTTTCCATGTTTAGTATTTGTATTTTGTAGAAATCAAAGTTGTCTTGTTTTTCCGTTCTTTTTCTCTTCATCCCAATAGTGCCATACTCCCTTATCCGAATCGTGTCTTACATTCTGAGACCTTTCACTTAGCCGCGTCCCAATTCGGTTGCGTGAACATTCGATTAGTTCGAAATAAGTTTTACAATTTAAAAAACAATAAAGCCTAATTTAATGTTACATTATGGTTAGAATTTTACTTAAGAGTCAGCCGAAATTTTATCTTATCTTTTGCTATGGCGATAAGTTTGAATAAAATATCATGCGTACTTACGTTAAGTTCATGGACGATTTTGTTATAAGCCCAATGCCACCGTTCTCTTGGGGTCTTCCGCCTTCGTTCTTGGGTGACGGTCGGCCGGATTTGGGGTTCGACTTCGATGTCGAGTACGGGCAATTCTTCTTCTTCGAAACTGACGCTTTTCTGTTTATCCTGTGACTCTTCTTCGATGGAGTCGTGGTGGTGCCCGTATTCGCGGATGTGCGCCCGGTTCCCCGGCACTTCGTCCTCATCGATTGAGTCCTGATGTCTCAGGGTGGGTGAGGTTACCGTAGGCGAAGTTTTCGCGCCCGGCGGAGACGCCTGTTTGTACGGAGTTTCCGCGATTTCCCTTTCTTGATCCGGTTCGTACCGTTCTACCACGGAAACGGGAGAATCACGCGAATAATCGTCCTGTACGATCTCTTCGTCAACATAGCTGTCTACCGATTCTTGGGCATGAAGGTATCCCCGACCGTTCGTCTCCATGTAATCTCCATCGATTGAATCCTGTTTTGTCGGGTACCCTTTTTTGATAGAATCTTGCTTCTGAATGTAACCTTTTTCGATGGAATTTTGTTTGCTGAGAAAACCGCGGTCGGTTTCATCCTCGTAATAATCATCCGTTTCACCATACCTGTCTTGACTGTCGTCGTATCGTTGGTTTTCTTCAAAGTTTTCTTCTTGTTCGTACGTTTCATCAGTTCCGTACATCTCGTTCTGTTCTTCATATCTCCTTTCCTCTTCTTGATAGTCGTTAGACGCTCGACTAATTTCTTTATGGAATGTCCCATTGGAGGGCACGTTGACAACAGGAGCCGGCGGCGGGGCTTTTGTTTCTATCACAGCTTGAGTTTGTATTTTGTTAGTTTTTCCTTGTTCTCCTCCTCCGATCGCACTTGTAAACCGTTTGAACACTGACGAGGATAAGGAAGTGACGGCCGTTTCGAGCGATCCTATCATGGTGTGCCCGACAGAGTCCGATTTTGCACCGGAATCTTTTTTCGTCTCGGGTTGCTTTTTAACAGTGTCTCTCCTAACGAGAGTCGATTCCGTCATTGAACCGTCCATCCGTTCGATTGAATCGTGTTGGTAATAATAATCGTCTTGGTATGTCTGTTGGTTGTGGTGGTACTGACTCTGAAGCTCTAGCATCTGTTCTTGGTGTTGAGCCAGCATGGCGTTGGTCCTCTTTAACATTTCTTCTTGCGTTTCTATGGCTTCCTGCGTTATGAGATTATCCGTGCTCATATAAGCGTAGTTGTAGTCTTCGTTATATGAACTCCCTTCTAATCTGGTCTCACTGTTTGAAAACTGTCCGTATCTTTCGTCCATAGAAGACTCTTGGTGCTCGAGCGACCCCGCTCGTCTTGTGGGCACTTGAGGTTTTTGGCGGGCTGGGGTCGGTGGTAATGAAGGTGACGGTTTTATTCTAGTCGGGATTTGAGGTAATAGTTTTGGTTTATCCGTTTTTCTAGGTCTGTAACCTGGAGGAAAATCGCTAACATCGCGGAGGGAGTGGCGGCTGGAATGACGATTTATCACTGGTTGTTTTCTCCTCGCTGTCGTTCCAACGTATTCACTTGCTGAATGATAGTCTTCCTCCTCGTAGCTTTGCCTCGGTGTGTAATATACCTACAAAAACGAAGAGCGCGTAAACATACAATATTTACTATAATTTTAACAAAATTATTTGGTTTATACTATATAACGACAATAAACTGTAAAAAAAGATTGCGAAACGTAACGACTGCCCACATGCATAAATCACTCATACAATTAAACAGGATGCGTCGACCGCTGTTTTATCAGACAAAGCGATAGCACCTCCCTTGAAGCCAAGCCAAGGACAAATTATTTAAATCTATCATATTTCTCCCAGAAGGATATTTTCGCAATAGTGATTGATGCAAAAAGTAACTCTAGCATTCTTTATAAAAATAGATTTTTTTTTAATTATCTGAATCAAATGCAAAATTATGCTCTAGTTTGTTCGTGTAATCCTACATAGACAATTAAGCATGGCTGAAAAATTCTAACATTACTAGTCATAAGTATATAATAACTGGACACAGCTGAGAGTCAGGGGTTAGTAGATAATTGTAAGTAAAGGGTTGAATGTAAAACATATATAGTATATATATTGGAGAGTTGTGGAAAAGGGCGCCAGCCTGAAAGAGGGCGCCACAAAAAGATCGAGAGTTTTCGCGGGGAAAAAACCTCTCAGATGAAAAAAAGGATTTTTCGCTCTCTTTTCTCTTGGGTCGACCACGTGAATATGGGCATTTGATTTTTAGACTCTCCTAAATATAAAAATTAATATTTCATATCTCAGCTGAATGTGGATTGTGAGTAGAGCCTTGTATTATAATTTTTATTTAATTAAGTTATTTTATAAATTTATTTTAGTTATTTAATGTATATATGTTTTCAATATTTTTTTTAATTAGAAGGATTAACTAATATTTAAATTACAATTAATTAAGGTTTTTAGTTGAGATGAAAAAAGTTAATGGCACGAGCGGGATTCGAACCCACGATCTTCGGCTAGATACGCCGCTGCTCTACCACTTGACCTCGTGGGAGGTCACGATAGCTCAAGTGGAAGAGCAGCGGCCTTACTAGCCGAAGATCGTGGTTGGAATCCCGCTCGTGCCATTAACTTTTTTCATCTCAACTAAAAACCTTAATTAATTGTAATGTATTATTTGGTCAAGCGGACCACGAAATTGGTGAATTTAATATTTAAATTTTGTTTTTTCTTTTCTTGTTTAAATCTTATTTTTTTTAGGAGATCCACATAGTTACCATAAATACTGATAGCAGAGTTTAAGAAAACTCAGAAAAAATTAATAATGTTATTTTAATAATAATTTCCAATAATTTGAACATAAATTTGAAAAAAGAAATTAAAAAAAAAAATAATGCGAAAAGGGGAAAAATGCAAAAATCTTGCCATGTTGGAGGAACACCAAGAAATTAATAAAGTAAAAATAGATATCTTGAACACATATGTTCAAGATGTTCTGGCAGAGAGTGCAAAACAATTGATGAATGCCCTGAATTGCAGGGAACAGAAAAATTGGATGAATTTATCAAAACCATGTCCGTTGTAGTTGATGAAAACACTAATAAAATTACGGAGGCAACACACACAGCACAGATACCAATAGCATACAAAACACCCAACATTTCACCTCTCAACAAAAATGGCACGGAAATGGACCAAAAAACACACATTCCCCAAAACTCAGACGAAACACCCAATCCTTCATCCTTTCATCGATCCTCAATCCTCCAAAGTCAACCAAACAAACACATGTATCCAGATTTCAGTATTTTACACAATTCCAGGGACGAGAGTTCGTCGGCAAGCCCATCCCATATCATGGAATTACCTCAAAAAATAAATAAATCATTTTTAAAAGATAGTATTTCTCCTACACTAGTTCAAAAAGTATAAGCATTACCAAATTTTCAACTATGCCAGCCAGCCGGAATAAATTTTTTTTTAACAGAGCTAACACCAATAGCATTAAGAAATAAAACAAGTTCAAACATTTTTTAGCCATTTTACCAGACAAAGACAGCAATAATATGATTGCTAATTTCTTGTACATTGCCATGGCTTTTAATAAAATAAATTTCGAGATATTTTCTGAGGCATTGCATGGCAATGCAACGCATGGCATGTCCAAAAAACAATATCTACATACAAACAGTTGCTGTTCCCTCCTCAGGATGAGAACAATCCTCTCAGACAATATATAGACTATAAATTAAAATTATTAAAATTGTTAGGAGAGACAAATGAAGGTACGAACCTTGCAGATTTAAATAAGCGAATTCACCCGAAAAAATTTAATTTTATTGGGAAACTCTGATAATATAAAATGTTATCAACACATTTTTGATAAAATTAAGAAAGTAGAAATCACAATGAATGAGAGAGGCATATTGGGTAACGACAGCATCCCAAATTTTAATTACCCGAAAATGAACAATGGACATACTGCTAACAAAACAAATTTTAACTACAACAAACTACATAAAAATTTTGCTTAGAATAAAAGAAATTACAACACAAATTTTCAGGGCAGATTCCATTACAACAAAAACAATAATTTTGGAAATCCCAATTTCACCAATAACCCAATTATAACAATAGAGGTAACAATATAAATTATAAATCGTTATCCAAATTATTACAACAATAACCAACCTCACAGTTACAATTCAAATGATAGCTATAGAAATTTTAATAGTAATTTTAATAGACACCAAACATACAATAAATCAAGAATTTTTTATCGCAATAACAACAGAACTACAGGCAATACCAACAGAAACTCCAACAATTCACAAAATGAGAACTATAAAAAAAATAAAAATAGAAAATTTAAAAAAGAGGACAACACATTTGCAGCAATAGGAGAAAACATTAAGCATATTTTAGAATTAAAAAAATTATTCACAAAATTTTCAGCTACAATAAAACTCCAAAAATCTAATAGATGTGGCAATTTCGCCACAAGATACACAAATCAAATCTGTAGAACATTTGCCATTCATAAAAATCAAAATAGGAAAACTATATACCAGAACTATTAGATTCAGGCTCCACAATAAATTGCATGCCCCGAGAAACGCAAAATCTTTTAAACAAAAAATTATTTAAGAATTTAAAATACAATAATAATAAAATATTGTCAGTAATTGGAGATACCGTAGACCTAATTGCAACAGCGAACATAAACATAAAAATACATATCATGTCGTGGCCCATAGAAATAAATATTATGGAAAATATGCCTATGCCCATACTACTGGGATTTAACTTCTTTAACAAAGTGGGATTGATTCTGGATGGAGAGGACAAACATATATCATTTAAACACATCCCATTAAAGATTTTTTACACTACTTAAACACCAAGACGTCATTTACAATACAACACAGACACTAATCTCACATTACACACAATACGCTCAGACAATGAAGATCAAGACACAAACAATACACCAGTAGAAAACGAAGAACATTCGTACAATAAAACCTACACACATCAAGACTCCCACATACCACCAAGTCCTCAAGATGAACGAATAGAAAGTGCAAAAATAAAAAATTACTTTATTAATAAATTTCCAGACGTACTTACAAAAACAAATAGACAAAGCAAAACGCTAGGAACTAAAAATTTACATAGATGATGTTAAACCAATAAACGAACCAGCATGCCGACTCAATCCAATTGACTATGATGGCATGAGAAAAACAATAACCTGCTAAATCATGGAATAATTGAACCCAGTTATTCAGCATGGGTATCTCCAAGTTTATAGTGCAAAAAAAAGGGTAACAACCTGAATCATAAACGACTTGTTATAAATTATAAGAAGCATGTAGTATATGTGTAACGTTTCGATTTGAATATACCGCCATGCCCCTCCACACACATCTGACAGTGAAAGGAGTAGGGGCTAGGAAAGGCTATTTTTTTCAATAAAAAAAAATTCCCCCCTTTCTGTCCTCCGTCGGTTAAGAGCTGTCTATTAGTAATAAAGAAAAATTTGGTATGCACACAATTCAATGAGGAAATTTTATATTTTGACGTCAAAAAACTAAAAATAATAATTGTATTTCAATTTAAAAAAGGGTTGTAACAAAAAATATATTTNCTTTTTTTTCATGTCAACTAAAAACCTTAATTAATTGTAATATACTTACACTATTAAATAACCTTACAAAATAGTTAATACATCATACTAGTAAGGCAAATTTATTAAATCAGAATGTCAGACTGCACCCTAATTGTAAGTGTATTACACTTACACAAAACAAGTAAAAGAATGTAAAAAATTCTCAAGTCTTTGTAAATTGAAAATTTTGCTGCCAAGGCATAACAGAAACATGTCAAAAAGGAAACAACTACTAATGAAAATGCATCAGAAGGATGTAAGCTCAGATTCGACTTTTAAAGGAAGAAGAAAGAACCTTTTCTGTTTTGATATCTTGGGTTTTTTTCATGACATCATCACAATTCAAAATGAAATGTGTTCAATAAATATTATAGAATAGCATAGAACTCTTAGGAATTAAATAATATTTCACATGCCTATTTAAATGACAATTTGTTCGCCATACATCCGTTTACCTATATTAATCCTAGTGAAATACAAGAAAAATTTCGATAGTTCTCCTTTTTAGACTAAATATATTTGTACCCTCAAACAATTCAAATTAATACGTTTATTAAAGAGGAATAACTTCAGTACGGAAGTAGAAGAAGAAGAAAAATCCCACAAATTTCGGAAAACGATCAAAGTTCATCAGCCCCATTAAACTGAAAATATCCTCACGACAGCTTCGATCTTGAAAGTGGTGTAAGCTTACTTAACTTTTTGAAACAGATTATTCTCTTGAGGATGAGTAAAAAACTGTGCGTATAAGTTCTGGACATAGTTGTCGAAATACCCCTCGAAGGTAGATAATAATGCCTAAGCATTATTGTCATTAACGAGAAAAATTTTGAGCTCATAAAAACTTCTAACACTTATCATCAACTTATCAACTTTTCTAGATCTGGCGTCGGAGGAGCTGGTTTTTGGCTTTGCTATGGAATTCAAACTCCGAACTGAACTGGAAAAAGGGAAAATTAGGTTGGAAAGCAAAATATATCGTCTGGAGTTTGATGGGAAAATTTATTTTCCACAATTAAAAATAATTGGTAAAAGAAAAAGAACAACTAAAAGGCATTACTAAAAAGGGAACAAGCGGGATCAATTATCTGGAGGACTCCCTTAATCTCTCGAATTTTCTCACAAAAACGTTTTTTCAACTAAGAAAACAATGGAACTTTTAATATAATAATTATAGGTTCTGTTTAGAATTTTATTCCCTAAAACAATAAACGAAGAAAACAATCAACAAACTTTCTCGCAGATGTCCTGTTCAATAATAATCAAATTTTAAACTAAGTAACTAAATAAAAAAATATAGATAGGCCATGTATGAATTTTACAAACGAAAGTTAAAACGTATTTCATCTCAACTGGCCAGTTCTATATTCACTCATCATTAATAACATGAACACCCAGGCTTACCCATCCTAAATATAATAAATTGTCAGATGCAAAAGGATAATTAAAAATGCAATTACCGAATCTTGATCTGATGAACGGTGGTACTTCTGGAGAGAAGACCTCGAGGAGTACTTAATGTTCATCTGGTTTTCGTATTGTTCTTTCAGTGTTGTACCTTTGTTGTACCTCATTCCCCCTCCGCTGTCCCACTGTCGGTCTTCTTCTTCTTGACCATATCTAAAAAAATATGATAAATTGTAAAATTTAATTAGATTTTTATTTTAATAATAATGTGACAGTTGGTCAAAGAATGACAAAACCTTTCATTTTGACAAGGGTTGTAAACCTGAGAGAACATATTTACATAAGATGATAATTGTAATAATAATGGGTCACATACAGAAAAAAACTGAAAAATTAAGTAGACATTGTGTAACATTGAAGATTTAAAAACCATGAAAATCTTTATCTGCCGTACAATAATATTTTGCTGATTTTTTCTCACGCCACCATCATTAATCGCTGGCTTGACAAACACCTTAAAACATAACAATAGCATAATAAATTGTGTAGTCCATAGTTCAGTAATCAGGATATTATCAAAAAGGAGCCAACCAAAAAAAAGTGTTTGAGGGAAACCCTTTACTTTTAAATGTTTGCAGTGTCCATTTTCCTTTCAAATCTGACAAAGAACAGAATAAAATATCAGAATACAGAAATACTTACCTTTCTTTGAACAGACAACAATTCAACAGTTCTCAATAAAATAAAATAATGAATATATATATATATATATATATATATATATATATATTTTTTTTTGCCTGGGGCTTCTGACATCTAGGTCATTTCAGCCCCTATCTAAGTCTATATTCTAATAACACTTACAAACACTGCATTCATACACATGTGTACACATAAATACATCCATACAGTATACTCATTCGTTTGGTCGGTGGAGTACTTGATATTCCTCCACCGATCTATACTCAAACTAATCTAGATTGGGGTCGATGGATTACTTTTATAAATATTCCGTCATCGACCCCGAACACACACTCATAAGTGGCGATGATGACGTTATATTTCACACTCACCTCTCACCATTCACGCTAATAAATACATGCACTCAGACAAAACATATAGACACACAACACATAAGACATATTATATACAATTAAAAAACCCAAGGAACAGGGACCCAGAAACCCGCTGCCGTGCTCGAGTACCATTTTCAGATTGGATGGCATGCCTACACGCTCCCTGTAGGAAGCCAAGGCATGACATGTTTCCAGTATGTGGGACACATCGAGCAACCTTCCTCTGCATAAGGGGGACCTGCGCGGGCTTTGGCCCAAAAGCAGGTGCCCGTATAAATTTATATATTGTAATTTATTGGATTTATGTACATGCATAGAAATATCTACCCTTCTACCAGTATAGCTTTTGTTAATAATTCTGCAAGTTTCAAAAAGAAAACTATTACTATCAAGGTATAAGAGACAATTTTATTTATTATTTTAAATACTAAATTAGCTTTGGTATATTTGAAATAGTTAACTTTATGATATATATTACAATCAATTAAGGTTTTTAGTTGAGATAAAAAAGTCAATGGCACGAGCGGGATTCGAACCCACGATCTTTGGCTAGATACGCCGCCGCTCTACCACTTGAGCTATCATGCCCTCGATCCACTCGGACACCAACTTCCAATTTCAACCCCACCTTTTGAATTTTCCCTCCTTTTTGCCATTTTTCAAATGTCGTGTAATCGGATTGGATTCTCGGCGACAAATGAAATGGCCACGGAGAACTTTAGTGAAGATATACTTCATTGTAACTTATTAAATTCATGTACTTCATTTTAAATCATTAAAGTCACTAATTTCGTGGTCCGCTTGACCAATTAATATATTACAATTAATTAAGGTTTTTAGTTGAGATAAAAAAGTCAATAGTTTGAAAAATGGCAAAAAGGAGGGAAAATTCAAAAGGTGGGGTTGAGATAGGAAGTTGGTGTCAGAGTGGATCGAGGTCACGATAGCTCAAGTGGTAGAGCAGCGGTGTATCTGGCCGAAGATCGTGGGTTCGAATCCCGCTCGTGCCATTGACTTTTTTATCTCAACTAAAAACCTTAATTAATTGTAATATATTACTTGGTCAAGCGGACAACGAAATTAGTGAATTTATGATATATTTTATATTCATATTTTCAAAAAGCAATGTACATTTATTAGAAATGCTTTTAGCACTTTGGTAACAACTTCAGTAAGGAACAACATTCTATATATCACTAGACACAAGATAAAATATTTAGAATTACCTTTTTTAAATTAAATAAAATGAGAATAGTTTTATACTTTCATAGCCATATTTATATAGTTTTCATGCTGCAATGTATTTTAAAATAGAAGTAGTGATATTTCCTCAAGTGGCCTAAGCAAATTATATTCTCGCCTTTTGACAATGAAGGCAAACTTTGCTTAATAACTCCCTTTTACACTGAAAGGTTTCCATTACCATGTATACTTATAATAACGTTTTGCAATTGGATTAATATCTGCCTGATGGATCGTCCCTTAGAGTATTACAATGGCCAGTAAATACATTAAAACAACAGTAATACAATTTCAAAATAATCATCAAAATAAAACTATAGAAGATGGTAAGATTTGGCTGAACGAATTTGGACATCAGTATGATGATTGTATTTTTTATAATCACAAAATAAGGAATAAGTACATGAAACAAACTTAAAATCTGGCATTTTCACATTGGTGATAAATGTCAAAAATTTGTAATCAATTTATATCAATACACTAACAGTTACATTTATACTTAAACCGACCTAGTACCGTTGGAATTATCATAAAACAAAAAATACCAAATAATTAAAAATTACGTGGATAAATTAACAATATTTATGTTTGATTAAACATTAAACCGCACAGCCAGAAGAAAACTGGCAAAAAATAGAAAGTAAAATTTGTGTCTTTTCACAGATGAAAGAAACATGAATAACCAACTATTCTACGACTACGACTTTCTTGACCTAAATATTAATAATACCTTTTCTAAATAAAATTATTTAAAATAGTTGTAGCACAAGCTTTAGACAGGGTGTGCCACCCGGGCATACTTTATAAACTCAAACGCTTCGTATCCACTCCTTATTTCATTATCCTGAAATCCTACCTAACAGACCGCTGCTTCAGAGTGAGGTGCGGTAACGAGTTCTCTGAAATCAGGCCATTACAAGCCGGTGTCCCACTAGTGAGTATCCTTGGTCCTATCCGTTATACCATGTTTACTGCTGACCTACCTACTCACCCCAATATTATCATTACCACCTACGCGGACGATACCGCAATTTTGTCCTCTAACTTGAATCCTACCGAAGCTACCTCTAATATTCAAGAATACCTTGAGCTCATCGAAGGTTGGTGCAAAAAGTGGAGGACAAGATTAAACGGAGAAAAGTGCACGTTCACTTTGAAAAAGCAGTCTTGTCCTCCGCTATACACGAAGAGATACCGACTTCCACTCAAGTCAAATACCTAGGATTATACCTTGACAGCAGACTGACCGAGGAAGCCCCACACAAGACTTAGAAGACAACAACTTAACAGAAGACTTGGACAATTAGGCAGACTACTACGACCAAAATCCGGGTTGACCATCAGCACTAAACTGGCCTTATACAAGACTTTACTGCGACCACTTTGGACATACGGTGTGGAACTGAGGGGTTCCGCCAAACTATCCAATATCCAGCGTACCCAGTCCTTCCAATCAAAAGTCCTAAGACAAATCGTCAAAGCTCCTTTTTACGTCTCTAACCTCACTTTCCACAAAGACCTCAACGTTCCTTTTGTCCACGAACTTATCCATTCCCCATTCCAAAAATTACATACCAACCTATGGATCTATCTAACCCTACCGCTAGAGCCCTCACCACATATTCCCATTCCGAAAATCCACCACGTCGCCTAAAACGGATGGCCCCGAGTCCTTGCCCCTTAATCCATTAAAATGAGTGCCAGCACTGGCTGGCTTTTCATGGCATGCGTCCTCCGGGTACAGCCTGTCATCAGTGTTAGTGCTGTGACAGAGCGGTGAAAATATACATTGTGATCACATTTGTATTATGTACATTTATGTATAGGCAACAACTAAATAATAAAAAAATAAATAGTTGTTTAGGATCCAATACTGCCTAACTAGTAAAAGATGGATCCATTAAGTAAGTGGAGGAAAAGAAAGAGGATAAAGGAATAGATTTTGACATTGGAAAATCTCTAAGCCCCACCCATCGATTTTCCACGGTGAGATCCATGTAATAGAATTCCTAGCACGAGAGGTATAAAATCATGGATTAAAACATAAAGGTGCACATTGCAAGACAGTCAAACAGCACTAAATGTGTTAGTAGCTCCTTCTTCAATTCAAAATTGTCAGGGGACGAGGAAAACTAAGATGTGGATACCAAAGAATTGAAAGCAACGAAGAAGTAGGCAAAATAGAAAAAACAAGAACAGCCCTCACACCCTTTCAAGCAGAACCACAAATTGCCTCAAAGCATGAAATAAAAGCAGAAGCAAACAAATGGATTTACCAGAGAAAACATGCTCAACACTCTACCTTTCTCTTAGGAGCTAGGAATTGAGAGAACTTAGATAGAAACCGACCAAATGTGCCAGGAGTCAACAGAGATATCGCAATATACTTTATTTTATTGCGAACGGTTAGCCCGAAACCTGTAGTACCACATCGGACTACAAATATCAAGGAAATTGTTAAAATTTTTAAGAAACTTTTTGGCAGATAGCAACAGTTCAGGCTTAATTCCATTAAAGACCAATCAGGTCGCAGTGGAAAAAGTGGGCAGTCACCCCGGGCAGAAAGTAAAGCACACAACTAAAACAAATTTCCATTATCATTCATTTTACATTGTACGAAATGAAAGTTAAAAGTTAAAATGGAAAACAAAATAAATAAGTGTTGGCATTTTTTGGAATATGTCAATAAAGAATTGTCACTTCCAAAGAGTTTTCAGGAAATTGCGGCGTCCATTTTTTCTGTTTTCACAGCTTTCAATCATCCGGACTGTCCTTCGGCTCCCAGTGTGATACACGTTTCCCGGGTCTTTCAAATTCCAATTTCAATAGATGAAAAAACTACTTTAACACTTCATTGCCCCAAAAGTTAGTGGCCGAAGACCGTTCCACTAAGCCAAATCATCATAATTGGGAAAACAGCTCCAAGCGAATGTTTATTTAGTGTATAAAGATAAAGATTACAAAAACTGATTTTTTCATAGAATGGACAATATTATAAATTATGCAAAATAAAGATTGTTTTTCCGAAGTCGGCCTGTTTAAATAAAATACGATACGTAGGGTTGATGTTTTGCCAATTGGATTTATTAACATTTCTGAATTTTATAAAATGTGAGGTTCCGAAGTTTCCTAATGTTCAGTTTTTGAACGTTTTGTAATTACTTTCAATTAATTAAGGTTTTTAGTTGAGATATAAAAGTCACTGTCATGAGCGGGATTCGCCGAGAATCAAATGATTACACGACATTTGAGAAATGGCAAAAAGGAGGGAAAATTCAAAAGGTGGGGTTCAGATGGGAAGTTAGTGTCCGAGTGGATCGAGGTCACGATAGCTCAAGTGGTAGAGCAGCGGCGTATCTAGCCGAAGATCGTAGGTTCGAATCCCGCTCGTGACACTGATTTTTTTATTTCAACTAAAAACCTTAATTAATTGAAAGATATTAATTGGTCGACCGGACCACTAAAACGAGTTTTGTAATTAATTGAGATGATTTTGCTATATTATTAATTATGATTAACTGTATGATCTGACTTTTTGACTTTACTGTAGAATTGCTTTTGGAATTGTATTTTGTTGATGTTTAAAAGGCCACAAAAAAGACAAAATATCGGTCGTCAAAATGTTGTTCCCAAGTGAATACGCCATGAAAGTCAGACTAAAGCAGAAGTGCACAATTAAATGAACAAAATAGATTTTATATGTTCCACTCATGTGCTACTGAATCATCACATCACGAAACATTAAGCAAGTCGAGTAAGAATTAGAGAATTAAGACAATTTATCTTATTGTGATCAAAATGAACACCGTGACAAATCGATTACGCATGCAAATGATTGGATTAAATCAATTGGTAAAACATGATCATATTTCATTTCAGTGTAATTCAGACACTGAATATATCTTGCATCGAGTTGTGGTTGTTTAAGGTATGAATAAAATTTGCACTCGTTTAACTTTAAATTATGTTCATTTCATTTATATAAAAATACATCCCCCATCAAGGAAATGCAATATGTATACTCAAAAATGCTTCAAATATTTTTTTTTTATTATCCCCTCGGAAACGCCAGGTTTATACACATGTATGTACTAAAAAATACAGACACATTCACAGATAATCTCGTAGTGAATGTGTGCATGATTTTGTTAGGAACTGATTGGGTTGTGGGATGAATGGTCTATATACCTGTATGCAGCTCATCCACCCAACGACGGTGGGTTCTCGATATCTGCCGGTAATTTACTTTAAATTACAAAATGGAATTGATGGTGGACTGTGAGAAGTGATAGGACCAACTCTGCATATGTGTTAGTGTTGTAAGTTTTCAGTATTAATTGTGATGATTTTCCTATAGACCGAATTATGTTTAATCTTACATTCAAACTTTTACACCCTCTGTTTTAGATTTGCATTTTGATGTTGTTTAAAATGCCACTAAAACGACAACATATTCGTAGAATAATGTTAAGATTCTTACTAATATTTAAAGGAGAAGATCTGTTAAGACAACAAATACCAATGATACCAACAGAAATACCTTTCCAATTCAAATTATTGCAATTTCCAAATAAACTGGCCTTTGCAGTAATGATAGACAAATCACAAGGTCAATCATTGCAATTATGCGAATTGAACTTGGAGAATACATGGTACACGATTATGCGTTACATATTCCAGGAAACCAGGATTTGTTGTCTTTATATATANTATATATATATATATGAAATGGAAACACCAAAAACGTGGTATATCTAAGAGCCTTGCAATTTTAGTGACTGGGAGTTTTGGGGCCCTGAAAAGGGCCGGTGTTGTGTAGAGATGCCGTGACGATGATATAAGGCCGAGACCGTGCGGGTGGTGCCGTTGGTGGTGGTGTGTGACTGAGTAACCGTCGGCTAAGGTCCGGGAGGCCATTCCGTTCCCGAGAACTCATCGCCAACAAGACAAGAGGATCTTGAGCTTCTGCACCTGGCCTATTCGGCCTTATAGGACGTTTTGATCCTCAAGATGAGGGCTGACGCACCTCCGCATACGATGCAATGCTGTTACCGTCGCAGCATAGGTTTAGAGGCGCCCCAGCCCCTAAGGGCCGAGACAACATCGCTCTCCGCTTGTCCACTCCGAATGTCGGCCCCGCATTGTGCATCGGGTAGTATGCCGCACGCAAAGGGCTAACAGGGCGAAATATATCAGGCTGTTCTCCCGCGTACTCCCTAGATAGAGAAGGTCACTCTATCTCCCTGAGAATAGAGGCTCCCCTAGCGTAGAAACTTCCGGGAACGCCCCGGCAGCGGTTTAGTTTAAAGTGGAATTGCTAGCCACACCCTAGATGAGCACCGCCTAAGGTAAAGTCTCTTATCGAGCTCAGCCAACACCTGCCATGCGCATTCAAGGGACGCCATAGGCTCAGCCTAAGTGGTCCGATCCTTCGCTTCCCCAAGGGTAGCACGCCGGCCATATGCACAACAATGCAAAGCATACTCGAGTCAGAGACACCGATTCACTACCTGTTTCCGTTCACTCACGAATTCGACGGACTATTCAGCATGATCATCGCGTCCTAAACGCTTACACGCTGTCGTCCTGTCGCAACATCTCCCGTGAGGCCGGGGGTAATTACGCTGGCCATATGCAAACTTCACGAAGGTCACAGATAGAAGACAACCTCTGTCTAAGTTCCCGCCAGGGGCGTCACCACGCGCCACAACGAATCCATTCCCAGTGTAACTAGGGCTGAATTTGGAATGTTTAGTTACCCCGTGGTACACATGGCCATACACCTTCCCTCGTCTATGCAGACATGATCTAGTGCACTGGCACTCGTGTGACTCTGCTAAGGCACCCGCCGCCCATGCCGACCCTACGCCGACACGAGTACAGCTTGTGCATTAGAAAGGTTGCCACGCCCTCTGGGCTGCACCGTCCGGGAGGCCGTGAGTCGGTTGACTCCACAGAGGCCGAAGATACTGATTGCAGCAATTAGCCGAGGGGCAGTGTTTGGCGTTAATGGCCAAGTCAGCTGTTTAGAAAGAGAGATCAGGCTAATGCTGCGCGTACTCTTGCTGTGTTCCATTAGTGATAGCTCGTCGGGCTGACGAGTCTAGTGTCGTTGAGTATAAGTGATTGGTGAGAACTCGTCGGGTTGACGAGTCTGCCGGTACATTAGTGATGGTTGATATCTCGTAGAGCTGACGAGTCCCATTCCTGAGGGGCAATGCCCCTGCTTATAAGGGAAGATTTCTCCTCGGATTGGCTGCAGAGTGGAGGGCGAGAACATTTCATAAGTCGTAGTGGCATCTAGCGGTAACGTGTACTAGCTACAAGTGGCCACTACACAATGAATTTAACGCTGAATGCCACAGTAATTACAAATTATGTAATCCAAAACATAAATAATATTACATATCTAAATATCTAATATCATGACTAAATACAATCTATTATTAATATAAAATATTCAATTTGCTTATTTAGTTTATATATATGATCCTATGTAGCAATAGCAATATGTATACTCAAAATAATGTGTTAAATAACTTTTGGTTATCCCCCTGGACAACGACGGGTTACTAATCTAGTAAAATATAAAAGAGAAAAATTCCAATTATATACTTATACTACCAGTAACATTATAGATCAATAGAGTGAACCGCCCATATCAATGCAATTATTCAATTTCTTTTGCATTAACCAACCAGATCATTATTACCTGTCCTCCTGGTATTTGTAGTGTGGCCCGCTGTAGTTGTAATAGTCCGTACCGTAGCTAACTGATGTGTCATAAATTCTGAAAAATAAAATTTATATTATTTCTTAATTTAATAGAAATGACGGAAAATAATCGGACAATTTTCATAAAATATTTCTTTTGCGATTAGTAATGTTACTAAAATGAATTTTTGCGTGTAATCGAGAGGAAACCTGCAAAAGATGGGTGGTTTCAAATTTTATTTCTGTTGTTTTAAGCATGTATGAAAGTTCTAGTCAATGAGTGAGAGGTCGATTAAATTTATTGCATTATTTTGTACGGTTCTATCGAATAGATGTAAGTCTGTTGGGACGGTGACGTATGCCAGAATCGAGTATAATGGTAATATGTTTGAGACATCATCACATGTGACCATCGTAGTGTTGAAAAGTATATTAACAATGTGTATAATAACGGACCCAAGAGACAACCCTTTGGAACTCCTGTATCGATCCGATCGAAAAGGAGAGGAAGAGATCCAACTCAAACTAAAAAGTATCTGTCAACTGCGGCTTAAATATGAGTTAGTGTATAAACGGTATGAAAGCACACCAGTTTCTGATGTCACATACAAAAATTACAAAAGCAGCATCCCTTCTTAATTGAAGATTCAATAGTATCCAAGATGACACTATTGAACAATATAATGAAGTCGCCTCAATCTAAATTGATTGGACTAGGTTAATATTAAAAGATTCTAGGATAAAATGGATTTGTTTTTAAAGAAGATGTTATAAAAATTTTGCCAAAAATTAATAAGTGATTGGACGGTTGTAAAATTTAGTAAGTTTAAGTATCGATCAAACAAGTGAGAGCTTCAACTATTCCAGGAAAATAATACGGAAAACAAAAACTGCAGCAAAATTTTTTTTATCAGTTATGTTACCATTTTCAAAATTATATTTAATATCTTTCAATTAATTAAAGTTTAAAAAAGGACTGAGTAAACATCCATGTTTAAGTCCCATCTCAAAAACAAACCCCATTGCCAAACCTACTTTCATCCAAATTCAAATGTGTAACATCACATTCGTTTTAAATTTGTGTCATTTTACTAGAATGCTAAATTAGTCATTAAATACTAATTATTCATAATTTCTTTCAATTAATTAAGGTTTTTAGTTGAGACAAAAAAGTCAGTGTCACGAGCGGGATTCGAACCCACGACCTTCGGCTAGATTCGCAGCTACTCTACCACTTGAGCTATCGTGACCTCGATCAACTCGGACACTAACTTCCCATCTCATCCCCACCTTTCTGGGGGACTAACCATGGGTACCTTAATTAATTGAAAGATATTATTAATGCTAATGTAATTTCAAATAATAATCGTATAACTAAAACAAAACATGAGTAAAGGTCAAAACTAAAATGTGGTGTAATCTATTTGATTCTCGGCGACAAATGAAATGGCCACGTAGACCTTTACTGAAGTATACTTCATTTAAACTTATTAAATTCACTAGTTTTCCTGGTCCGCTTGACCAATTAATATCTTTCAATTAATTAAGTAGTTGAGATAAAAAAGTGGATCGAAGTCACGATAGCTCAAGTGGTAGAGTAGCGGCGAATCTAGCCGAAGGTCGTGGGTTCGAATCCCGCTCGTGACACTGACTTTTTTATCTCAACTAAAAACCTTAATTAATAGGAAAATATTAATTGGTCAAGCGGACCAGGAAAACTAGTGAATTATATTTAATCATCATACAACAATCATATACGAAATATTGTAGTATAGAATATATAATATTCTAAATTCAAATTTGAAAATGTAAGTAATGATTCTATAATTGTGTGCAGAGGTTATGCTTTATTGTGCACTAAAGCAGGGTTCTCTTCTGATAGATCTATAACTAATTGTAAGTCATGACACGGTATAATTATAGCGATAGGCACGTAACCATTCATTTTTCTATTTCGGAACTCGACACGAGAACAGTTTCGATTGAAACATTTTCAGCTCACCTATTGTCCTGCGAATATGGTTGGTCCCCTGCGTCGTAGTATGTATCCATATAGTATTGGTCGTCGTAAAGCGTCGTCTGCCTCTCCAAACTCGGACGCCTGTTTTTGTTCACTTCTGAAATTCAAAAGCAAACCATCATATTTGTATGTTATACAGACAATAGAGACATTAACTGAAATGTAATAAAAACGTCGCTATATTACAGAACTAAACACGACATTAATTTCCTGCCATACGATTACATGAGAAAGTTGAATGATAATATACATAAACTCACTAGTGTCGTGGTCTGCTTAACCAATTAATAACTTTCAGTTAATTACGGTTTTTAGTTGAGATAAAACATTAACATTTGAAAAATGGCAAAAAAGGAGGGAAAATTCAAAAGGTGGGGTTGAGATGGGAAGTTAGTGTCCGAGTGGATCGAGGTCACGATAGCTCAAGTGGTAGAGCAGCGGAGTACCGAGCCGAAGGTCGTGGGTTCGAATCCCGATCGTGACACTGACTTTTTTATCACAACTAAAAACCTTAATTAATTGAAAGATATATATAAACATTTATATCTTTCAAAATATTACATGGAGAACGTCTATTAATAATACTTTTTCAAGAAAAAACGGTAATTAAGAATTAATACGACATAAATTGATAAAAATAGCAGAGGCGGTCATTTTAATTATTTAGAATATTAAAAAAATCCACAGTCAAAGGAAAATATAAATAAATAAATATTGTTCGTGGAGTTAAAGGATTGTAACGAAAACGGAGACAACGAAGAGAAGAAGAATGACCTTAAAATATCATCAGAAATAACTTTGGAACAAATAAGCCGTCTAATTGATACAAAAAAATATTTCTAGCCTAAAAGCCGGTTTATTGGAGTTACATAAAACGAAAGCTCGTTGCGCAAAAATGCTTTATGATGAGACTTTAAATGAAGACACGGGAAAAAATGCGAATTTTCAGAAAACATTGCATTAAGGAATAAATATATTTGGATTGAAATGTTGAATTTTATTAAAAATAGCTAGATATAGATATAGTGTATTTCCTTATTATACTTGATATTTCTTCTACTGTAATTAAATATACTTAACAATAAGATTTGTAGGTGTTTTTGTAAATGAGAGTGTTGGTTATTGTTCGTATTTATTTTTGTGATTATTACTTCTGTGTATTTTTTCCAGCAAACGGGTTTGGGCTCCGGGTGAATTCAACATATAGGTCAGCACCCACATATGCAGATCCCAGATCCAAACCCATCCACACTCTAATTCATTCTTAAATTAAATATATTCCTTCCTATTTACATACCACACTTGTTTTTTTTACCCTTGTACATTTCTAGCCATTTCTGTAAAACCGGGCAGAACATCCAGGCCTTTCCCCTGCATAAGGTCCTTCTACGCTTCTTATACGTTATCATTGGTTGTTCCAGATGGGTGCGGATAAAAAAACACGGCACCTAGGGCCCATGGAAAAGTCCGCATTCATCCCACAATCCAGGGCAAAACTAGCCTCTTATATTGAACCAAGAAAATGTACCTACTTCTTTATATAATAACAAATCTACCATTTTATTTTAAAATGAGTCTTAAAATTATGCATGCTTAATTGTTTAATTTTTAATATAAATTAAACCACTTTACTACTATTTGAACGATTAATTAATTAGTCAAATAATTAATATTTATGAAAGGTATTGGTCGAGATAAAAAAGTCAGTGTCACGAGCGGGATTCGAACCCACGATCTTCGGCTAAATGGCTGCTCGACCACTTGAGTGACTTTGATCCGCTCGGACACCAACTTCCCATCTCAACCTCAACTCTCAAACTTTCCCTTCTTTTTGCCATTTTTCCCGGTCGTGACACTGACTTTTTTATATCGACCAATACCTTTCATAAATATTAATTAATTGAAAAATGTTAATTGGTCAATCGGACCACGAACTGTAATGGATTTAATAACTAAACTGAAGTATATCTTCACGAAAAATCTCCGTGGTCATTTCATTTGCAGCCGAGAATTAAATAGATTTTGACATTTGAGAAATGGCAAAAAGGAGGGAAAATTCAAAAGGTGGGGTTGAGATGAGAAGTTAGTGTCCGAGCGGATTGAAGTCACGATAATTCAAGTGGTAGAGCAGCGCCCTATCTAGCCGAAGATCGTGGGTTCGAATCCCGCTCGTGACACTGACTTTTTATCTCGACCAATACCTTTCATAAATATTAATTAATTGAAAAATGTTAATTTGTCAATCGGACCACGAACTGTTCTGGATTAATTAATTAGCTTTCTGGTGTTAAGATAAAATTTTAAATATCAAACAACTATCATTTTGCTATTTATTATTCTTAATTCGTATTGTAAAGATAAATTGTTAATAAAATTACCTTTTCTTTTTACACTAGCCGTTCGAGGTTGGTAGTAGCGCGTCGTGCTGTCCTGGTATATCCTCGGGCAGCTCGCGTGCTGATCGTATTTGGCGTCGGGCCCGTACTCATCATACCAAGCAGATTGGCTGAAATGACAAAATTCTATTTTTAAATATTTTTCTATCGAAAATCCATGAAATATGACGGATATCTATTTTATTGGTCATCGTTTTTATGTTTTTTTTAATAAATTTTACCTGTCCTCGTAATCCCATGTTCTTTGCCTACGCCTGGAATAAAATTTGAGACGATTAGAAGAAAAGGATTTTTTTTTAATTCATGTAAAGTTTATTGTATTAAAAACCATATTTTTAATTAATTAGGGAGACTTGAACATACAGAATTTTTGAAATAAGTTTATAGACTTTCTTAGGGATGGAAATAAATAATGGTCAATTCGATAACAGATATTTTTAATTATGTAGGAAAAATCTTCACCCGTATCCGTGGAAGAAAGAAAAATGTTAAATTGTGGAAGTGGCATCTGACACGAAGAAACGTTGCCAGAAAGAAGAAAGAAACATCAGCCCACATCAAATATTGCTTTCCCATTACATTGATTTTGTTTCTGTAATAGTCTTCTTATTTTTGAAATTTGAATTGAGTTTGATTGTATTGATAAACATCACTGGATTTAATTGGTCCTCCGGGCCGGATAAAGCAAAAGCACTGCTTTCATCAACTGCGCTACAGCTTCCTCCCTGTCAATATTTGATATCAAATTATCAGTTTTAGCACATCTTACCATATTAGTCGTTATAGCAAACAAAGCAAAACAAAACATATTTCAAAATAGTTGGAATAAAAAAATTGTTTTATTCCACTAAGAAATGCACATATTTACGCTAAGTTCCAAAATCGTTGGAATCTATTTTGTCGTGGTTTATTTCAATTCAACTCCGAAAAATCGTAAGCATGGGCTTAAAGTGAACAACGTCAAGAAACCCTTTGATGTGTGCTTCTGTGAGGTTAAACGTACATATCTCTGCCTACCCCAAAGGGGCTCGTTAAAAGCACAAACTTGCCCCGTACTCAAGCTCCTCATTTCAACGGAACTTGGAGAATGGCCCTAATTTAATTTTAACATTCGATTCTCGGTAATATAATCCGGTTGTGTTACACGTTTGCTACCCCTTTGTGATCGACAATGAACACGTGTTTCAATTCGGGAAACAGTACACTTAGTTTTTCTCGTCGAATCATCCAGATCTTTGCAATTTCCTTACAGTTGGCTAAAAATCATTTTGACTCTTACACTCGTAAAGACCTTAAAAAATCCATCTAAAAACAATCCATAAATAATTCATTAATAATAATATTTTTTCAATAACATTTATTTGTGCCATGTGCATGAATTATACATATAAAAATTTTTTCTTAATCCTACAAAATCCAGATAAAACACTAACACTACGGCCATATTGCGCCTGTAGGACACTTTTTATTAAAGCTATCCAATGCTGGCACTCATCTTGTTATCGAGTTATATCGAGGAATTGTCGGGTCCATCGACATTTACGGCAACGTGGAGGGTTCGGTGAATGGAAAGTAGTGGAGAAGGCTTGAACAGTACGGTTAGGATGGGTTGAAGGATTTGTGTGAAATTTTAGGAAGAGGGAACGGATTGATTCTTCGATGACTGGAATGTTAAGGTCTTTGGTAGTAATGTGTGGTGATTAGTTACCGTTAATCGATATTTATTTAGAAATCGTAAGATGCGGTCTGGTGTGAAGTAGGTTTCAGAAAAACATTTTCTTTATCGTGCCTACGTTTCGATCTTTATTGAGATCATCTTCAGGCCCTTAACCTAATAAACCATTTCTAAGAAATTACGTTTATATTTGTTTTGTTCTGTATGTAAGATTTTTGGATTTTTGAAGTCGAAATTGTGTTGGTGTTCAAAATGTTCGACACGACACGCAAGAATGACACAATTACACAGAAGACAAACACTTTGAGTGAATAGAAATACTTTAATTGAATATATAAAATATATTTTGCATTGTATAAATTCACTTTTCCACATCCAAAATGTAATTGTAATATGTAAACAATGTTTGTAAATCCCGGGCTCTGAAGATGATCTCAATAAAGATCGAAACGTTGGCACGATAAAGAAAATGTTTTTCTGAAACCTACATCACACCAGACCGCATCTTACGATTTCTAAATAAATAGTCATTGGTAGTAGTGAACTTAGAGGCAAAGTTAGAAGTTAGGACAATTTATAAGAATTAGAATGAGTGGATTAGTTGGACGTTAGATGGCGTGGTGATACCCGACAAATTCGTTTCTTATGTACAAAAAGATCAAGTAATGTCATAGTTTGTTCTTTACCGTCATGCCTGACTTTGTCGTTGTCCAGGTCGTCTGTTTAGTTTTTTTTCCCCCTGAGACGTAAGTGTGATTTCAAAGTCTGCCTACTGTCTAACTATAGCGCAGCTATAAAATTTTACTTGTATAACTATTGGTGGTTCTTTACTATTTTTACTGTTAACGTATAGATTTGGTGAAGGATGATGGTTTAATCGTGAACGTAATGTCGGTGCTTTTGTCGTGGTTCAGTTTTACCTTTCAGGTTTTACATCTCGTGGATGTAGGAGGTAGCTTTGGTAAAATTGATGTTCGGAGACAAAATTGCATTCATCCGCGTAGGTTGCACGGATGAAGTTGGGATGTATTAGCCGATCAGCAGAATAAATAGTATATCGGATCAAACTAAGATTCTCCCTTGTGAGACACCGGCTTGGATCTGTCTTCTCGGAGCACTCATTGCCGCACCTCTCACTCTAAAGCAACGACCTCTTAGATAGGTATTGGTGAGTAGGAGCGGTGGAAACTGCTGTAGTTTGAAAAGAACACCAGGTGAAGACCTTCAAATGCTTCAGTAATTAAGACTTTGAAACCTCAAGCTTGGTTCATTTCCAGGTCACAGTAGACAATATGTAAGTCCTTGATATAGCGCATTTAAATTAAAACGCAGCGTTTCAATTTTACCCATTATCATTTAAAGCAGGACATTATTCGGTTTTTATAAAATTAGATGTATATTAAAAACAGACTGTATCTAACGGATGCTCAATGGACAAGGCGGTCATTCTTGGTACGGAATTTCACCAGAACCGAGGACCTATAGAGGCCTATGGTATCAAACTCTGCATCATCTTTTCATTTTAAAAAATCCAAACTACATGCACTTCTTAATATGCGGTACCCTCGTCACTGAATTCAATAATTATTCAAGCGAACTATGTAGCAAGCTAAACTCCAGCTTTAAATGATTGGATTCAAAAACTATGATCCAGCAAATGCTAATGATCGAATGTGTTTCGATTTGTCTCCTTTCAAAAACATCCATCTCGCCTTACTAGCAAATTCAATACATTCTTACTGCCGATTTCTGGGAAACAGGTATGGAATACCCTAGGCTCGAATCCGACTATTATACAAGAAAAGGATTTAGCCTTAGATATTCTGTAATTTGAAAAACTTCGTAAGGCGCGATCAGCATTTGCAACCTAACCAATATCTGAAAACAATAGGGAGTACATCACTTTTTATTTCCGACCTTTTTCAAGCAGATTTTTTACAATGAAATCCAGTCCTACCAACTGAGATAGCCATTAGTGACTTAGAATCATTAAAAACCTATCTGTCTATAAATTAGGAACACATCGAAAATGCAAGGTGCGATTGCAGATAGATCTTATGTTTCTTCATAATGGGTACTTTTTCACAGACTAAAAATCTGACAGAATACCTTCCTCTCCAAGAAAAGACCGATATGAGTAAATTTCACCACCTGCACCCGAGCTTGTAGACTTGATTTGAATGATAGCAAAAAGGAGGGACAATTCAAAAGGTGGGGTTGAGATGGGAAGTTAGTGTCCGAGTGGATCGAGGTCACGATAGCTCAAGTGGTAGAGCAGCGGNGACACTAACTTCCCATCTCAACCCCACCTTTTGAATTTTCCCTCCTTTTTGCCATTTTTCAAATGTCGTGTAATCTATTTGATTCTCGGCGACAAATCTCTTCTTCTTGTATTTTTTATCTCAAATAAAAACCTTAATTAATTGAAAAATATTAATTGGTCAAGCGGTTCACTAAAACTAGTGAATTTAATAAGTAAAAATGAAGTATACCTTCACTAAAGCTCTCCGTGGCGATTTCATTTGTCTAGCACCACTAGAGTTTATCCACATCTTGTTTTGTCTTTTTTGGATTTCTGATTTGGAATATTCTATGGGTTTTTTCCTATGAATAGATTCAAAACCAATGTATATTCTTGTAGATCCTCCTCTTGACAGTTTGTCTGCTTAATCTTTATCAAAAATGCCTTTTTGCCCTGGTATTCAGTATATCGTCAGGGCATTGTGTTTCCTGAGGTTTTGCAATTTCTGGATGTATTCACTGACTAATTTTTATGAGATTTGTTACAGTGCTAATGCAGAAATTTTTAGTACTGTCCATATATTCTTATAGGCATACCGTGAAATTATCGTCAGGCATATTTTTATTAAAACATACATCTGATTCTAAATATTTTCGCAAACTGTGCAAATTATGTTGACATGGGTAAAGTGACGTCTCAGCGGCCGGGTTGTAATTAATACTCTTGGTATGATAGAAGGGAATGTTTCAGAGTTGCTTAATAGGATGTTCGTACTCTGTGACAAAGGATTGTGAAAATACAAAGCGACTTTGAAACTGTTCTTGGATAATAAATCGCCAAATGACATTATTTAATAAAGTACTATGAATCATTTACCAACCCTTGTATGATCGCAGAAGATTATTACAAATTAGTGCGATACGTTCATAACACTTAACATATAGCAGCGGATGTAGCTCGTAAAATTGATAAAAGTTATGAAACAAAAAGTGGTTCATTGCCAAAAGCGGTTTAAAAAGTTTTCTTTCGAGCATGAGGGAGCTGAAGAAGAACCTGATAGACTTTCTTTCTTGAATGGCAAAGAATTAAGGAAAACTATCGAACTGATTAATCAATGATGACAGGAGCTTGCTACAATGCTCAACATAAGCGATAACCATTCGCCCTAGCTTACATCGACTTGGGAAGACGTGGAAGCTGAGCAAATGGTTCCTGATAAATTGACCGACGGTAACAAACTTCAGCGTCTAATAATTTTCTTTTCATTTCTTTGACGGCACAAAGTAGAGCTGTTTTTAGACCGAAATGTCAAATCCGACGAAAAATTGATCCTGCACAAAAACACCAGGAGGTCGTACTAAAAGCAGCCACAACAACCCAGTTCCATCGATTCGAAAACCAAATATTCCCCAACCAAGATGATGCTTTGAGTGTGGTGAAGTACACCACATGGCCAGACCGCCACCATAAAAATCTACTTAAACCAACTTCAACTAAAGGGTCAGAAACAAACTGCTCTCAGGAACAGAATAGGTGTAATTTTTTACCAGGACAATGCAAGAATCCCATACAGCCAGAATGATAAAGGAAAGAATAATGAAGCTTAGTTGGGTGTCATACGACACCCTCGGTACTCTCCAGACCTGACCCATCTGACTTTCACCCTGCGGTGGTAACGAAAAATCCTATGTACAAGGCGTCAACAGATGGTAAATGATGTGAAATTATTTTTTATACCCTGAAATCCTAACTTATATAATAAGGGCAATTTTGCCATTGAATTCAAAAGTACAAACGGTTTTTTATTTGGAACAACCGATTTCAAGATAGTTGTCAAAAACATTTTCAACGATTTTTTTAATTGAAAAACAATTTTAATGGAAATCTGCTCCATGTCTCCAACTAATCTCTTATTTATTTATTTAGCATTTTAATTATTAGGAAATTAATTGTTTCACGTATTTCTAAACTTTTCATCAATTTTTGCAAATAACGTCGACTATAACAGGACGTTTTGGATGAAAATTAAAGGAATCCCACAAAATTTTCAAAATAAATGGTTTAAATTTGAAAAATTTGTTTCGTTTTTTCTAATGTGGAAATGTGTAGTGATTAGTGACCGTTAGTTAATGATTATTCGGAAATCGTGAGATGCGGTCTGGGGTGACGTAGGTTTCAGAAAAAGATTTTCTTTATCGTGACAAATCGTGACAACGTTTCGACCTTTATTGAGATCATCTTCAGCGACTGGGATTTACAAACATTGTTTAAATTTAACAAATACATTTAGGATATGGAAAAAAGTGAATTTATACAATGCAAAAAAAAAATTTTTTATATTCAATCAAAGTATTTCTACTCACTCAAAGTGTTGTTTTCTGCGTAATTGTACCATTCTTGCGTGTCGTGTGAAGCGTACCAGTGAGATATTGCTGTTTTATATTTATATAAACATAAACATATAAAAAAACATACAAACATAAAACAGCAATATCTCACTGGCACTCTCAACACGACACGCAAGAATGGCACAATTACGCAGAAAGCAAACACTGAGTGAGTAGAAATACTTTGATTGAATATAAATTTTTTTTTTGCATTGTATAAATTCACTTTTTTCCACATCCTACTGTATTTGTTTAATATATTTACTATATATTATTTGTTTTAATTTAAACAATATTTGTAAATTCCAGGCCCTGAAGATGATCTCAATAAAGACCGAAACATTGGCACGATAAAGAAAATATTTTTCTGAAACCTGCATCTCACGATTTCCGAATAATCATTTGAAAAAAATGTAAGATGTGTTGACAAACAATATTCATGTGGTTATAAATATAGTATATTTGGTCGATAAGATAAAATGTTTGACAATACGTTTCGAAATTATTTTTCTGACTTACCTGTACGATTCTTTGTGATTACGAGGTCTGCTATTGTAGTAAAGTGGTTCTTGGTCCGATTCAATGTACCTGGACGAATCGCCGCCTCGTTCCCCATAGTAGTCATCGTCCCTGTGCCCCCTCCTTCTCGTGTGCATTGGTTGACCTAATCAAGAAAAAAATCACTAAGCTAAAAAGAACACAAAAAGTGACTTTTAACATTTTTTTTAATATTATCGCAACGGTTCCCTTCGAATGAGTAGCTAGAAGATGAACAAAGAAAATAATAAGTGATTTTTGATTTTTTCTTATATTATCCCAACGGTTCCCTTCGAATACCTAGAAATACCTATTGCCAAATAATACCAATCTTTACGTCAAGTTCATAAGTACAGATGTGTTCGGCAGCAGCTTAAAGCCTTTTAAAATAGGCAACATAACGCTACAAGCCCTTCATAATTTGAAAACAGCTCATAAAAGCAGATAATTTATGATATAATAAAAATTGTCTCATTTTAGCAATAATACACTACTTACTAAAATATACTAATATTACGTAATAATTATAATGATAAAAACAAAAACAATAGAAATTAATGGATTTAAAAAAGAGGAAAATACGTCAGGCATCATACAAAATGTTTAAAAAAAGACATAGAGACAGGGGTAAAAATGTATTTAAAAACACATTCTACTATAAAATTGTACTATAAAAATTTCAAGACATATTTTTAAAAAGTATCGTTTTCTCGCATTATTATATACTTATCAATCTGAAATAAAATTATGATTGAATATTTTAATTGTTGCCTTATTAATAATATAATATAATAAAATAGATGTTCAAAAAGATATCTCTTAAGATTTTTATCTCAACCAAAACCTTAATTAATTGAAAAGAATATATTTGGTCAAGCGGACTACGAAACCTAATAAAATGTAATAAGCAAAATGAAGTTGAACTTCACTAAAGCTCTCCGTGGCCATTTCATTTGTCGCCGAGAATCAAATAGATAACACGACATTTGAAAAATGGCAAAAAGGAGGGAAAATTCAAGAGGTTGAGATGGGAAGTTAGTGTCCGAGTGGATCGAGGTCACGATAGCACCAAGTGGTACAGCAGCGGCGTATTTAGCCGAAGATCGTGGGTTCAAATCCCGCTCGTGCCATTGACTTTTTTATCTCAAACAAAACCTTAATTAATTGGAAAAAATTTATTCGGTCAAGCGGGCCAAGAAACCTAATCAAATGTACAAAAAGAACTACACTCTATTGAAACGAAAAATTTTTCTTTCAGAATCAAATAAATTACACGAAATTTGAAAAATGGCAAAACGGAGGGAAAATTCAAAAGGTGGGGTTGAGATGGGAAGTTAGTGACCGAGTGGATCGAGGTCACGATAGCTCGAGTGGTAGAGCAGCGGCGTATCTAGCCAAAGATCGTGGGTTCGAATCCCGCTCGTGCCATTGACTTTTTTTATCTCAAACAAAACCTTAATTAATCGGAAAGAATTTATTCGTTCAAGCGGGCCAAAAAACCTAATAAAATGTATTGAAACGAAAATGTTTTCTTTCATTTTGTCATTGCTTAATGAAATTAACTCAACTCCCAAACACTAGTTAATTTTAAATAGCCAAATAAAATGAATTTTTAAACGTTGTTCTCCATTTATTCATTAATTTTACTATACCTTTTCTTTATCCTCTTGATTTAGCAAATGTTATTTTTTAAACATTACTCGCAGAATAAATAGTACATACAGTTTAATATTACTTTTTGATTCAATACATTTTATATAGTTGCTAATTATATTCATAAATTTTCTATATAGCACAGTTTAAGAGATAAATGTTAATATGGCACACGGCTATACAAATTGGTGGTAGATTCAGGAGAAATTCCAGGGCATGCGTGGAAGACGATGTCATTCTACCTAAATTACCTTACCGTATAAATCATTTACTTTTCTCTCGTCGTTCTGATGTCTTGTTTCTTCTCAGTCGCAAGTATTCGGTTTTTCCTTTGTGGATATTTTGTCTCAGACCTTTCGATTTTGTGTCTGTCCTCTTTAGTTCAGTTTTTATTCTTAATTTGTAGAATATATTGGTCACTCACGGATTGATATGGTCATTATTTTTTTTTGGGTTGTTGTTTTGTTAACATAGCTGGATAATGACGATCATCTCCTGAGGCGTTTTACGGCGGCGGGCTTATTTCCCTATCCCGGTCATCTCAAAATTAACGTTAATTCACTAGTTTTCGTGGTCCGCTTGACCAATTAATATCTTTCAATTAATAAAGGTTTTTAGTATGATAAAAAAGTCAGTGCCACGAGCGGGATTCGAACCCACGATCTTCGGCTAGAATCGCCGCTGCTCGACCACTTGAGCTATCCTGACCTCGATCCACTCGGACACTAACTTCCCATCTCAACCCCACCTTTTGAATTTTCCCTCCTTTTTGCCATTTTTCAACCAATATCTTTCAAAAATATCAATTAATTGAAAAATGTTAATTGGTGAATCGGGCAATACTGGCATTGCAGGAAGAAGAAAAAAATATTCCTCCTAGTTTTTCAAATGTCGTGTAATCTATTTGATTCTCGGCGACAAATGAAATGGCCACGGAGAGCTTTGAAAAATGGCAAAAAGGAGGGAAAATTTAATAGGTTGGGTTGAGATGGGAAGTTAGTGTCCGAGTGGATCGAGGTCACGATAGCTCAAGTGAAAGAGCAGCGGCGTATCTAGCCAAAGATCGTGGGTTTGAAGCCCGCTCGTGACACTGACTTTTTTATCTCAACTAAAAACCTTAATTAATTGAAAGATATTAACGTTAATGTTAAACATATTTCCAAGGTTTTATCCTTATTTAAGACTGGCCGCTTTTTGTCCGTAACATAACTTTTTCGTCACTGTTTCATTTCAGGGATCATTTTATTAAAAACACACTTATCAATATGGCCAAAAACAGAACCGCGTCTGGAACTTACAGGATACCAACAGACTTGAAACTTATGTGTACAATAGAAAAATTAAAATTATTGTTTAACGGTAGAAATTCAATTGAGTTGCTTTATTCCAGGTTAGAGAACGCCTATTCCTCTTTAATTTTGTAACAATCGTAAAAATAAGTAATAACATTTGTTCGAAAATGTTACTTTTTGAGTTGAGATGGGTATCTGCAAGTTAATGGTTAATTACACTGCGTTCCGCTGGTTAAATTGTCATACTTGCATTATTTATTATGGTTCTATCAACTCTAGTTTATCTCTGGTCAATGTGAAACTAAATTACATAAGTACATAATATTTTATGTGTATAAAATTGATAAAAATACAAAAGTGTACCATATTTTACCATTCGGCAGGTGCGGTATATAAGTCGATGTTCGATCTGTGGTCGACTTACCAGGGGAAAGATGGTGTCCATGGTGGTGTGGATGGTGTTGCTGCGGAGGAGGCTCGTCTGTCTCGTAAGAATTCTCCCTCGACGTCTCGAGCGATCTCTGCGGTGTCGGTATTTGGTGAGCTGCACTTCTGAATTGAGATGCCGAGGAATTCGCGTGCTGGCCGACGGGGTAGTTGAGATCGCTCGTATAGTCACTGTCTTCTGAGTAGCCCGCTACAAAAGACGGACAACCCAATTTTTAGCCTACCACAAGATATTTTCCCTCCCTAATCGCATATATCTTCGAGTATACTTTGGGGGCTCTTGCATAAATACATATTAGCCGATTACCAGATTAAATAGTCTCCGTTTTATCTTGATAGATACGTAGTCATAAATTTAATATGAATAATGAGCAACGAAAATTGAAATTATTATTTTTACTATTCATCACCGACTGTCGATATTTTAAACGATTTAACCTAGTATAATTTAATTGAAATGTAAAATAATGAAGAAACAATTTCGTAAAAAATTGGCAAAATTTGCAATTAAATGTAATATAATGTGTAAAAAACATAGTAAATTACGGAATTGGTAACGTGAATATTTCATCAGTGAATTATCTGTCATCGTGGTACATAGAGTGAGAAAGAGAGAGAGAGAGAGAGAGAGAGAGAGAGAGAGAGAGAGAGAGAGAGAAAGAGAGAGAGAGAGTGAGAAAGAGGAAAAAAGAAAGAGAAGCAGGGAAAATCAGGGACAAAGAGAGTGAGAGTGAGACTGAGAACGAGAGAGAAAGTGAGGAAAAGAGAGAAAGATCATAGAATCGAAGGAAAATAAGGAGAAATAGGCTTAGGTAAAAAGAGAATCACAAGAACAAGAAAGAGAAGTTGAAAGTGAAAACACAAGAGAAAGTGAGAAAAAAGATAATAGCATGAAGGAATAAAAGGGAGGAAGAAGGACATAAACAGAGAAAGAGTAGAATAAAAAAGAGGGAGAAACGAGGAGAGAGTGCGAAAAGAAAGAAAGAGAGCGGGACAGAAATAAATAAATAAAGAGAGAGAAAGAGAAAAGTACAAGGAGAAGAGAAGTGAAGGGAACGAAAGATAGGAGACAGAGGGGAAGTTAGAGGAATAATTACAGAGAAGAAATAGGAAGAAGGATAGAGAGAGAACCAAAAAGAAAAGAAAGAGAGAAAATATGAAAGAGTGGGAGAGAAGGAGAGTGGGAAAGAGAGAGAGGGAAAGAGTGACAGAGATGAAAAGAGAAAGAAAAGAAATTAAAATCAGGGACAAAGAGAGTGAGAACGAAAGAGAAAGTGAGGAAAAGAGAGAAAGATAAGAGAATCAAAAGAAAAGAAGGAGAAATAGGCTTAGGTAAAAAGAGAACGACAAGAAAGAGAAAGAGAGGTTGAAAGTGAGAACAAAAGAGAAAGTGAGAAAGAAAGATAAAAGCATGAAGGAGCAAAAGGGAGGAATAAGGAGATAAGTGCAGAAAGAGGAGAATAAGAAAGAGAGAGAAACGAGGAGAGAGTGCGAAAAGCAAGAAAGAGAGTGGGACAGAAATAAATAAAGAAAGAGAGAGAAAGAGAAAAGTAAAAGGAGAAGAGAAAGAAAAAACCGAGAGAAAGTGAGAGGGCGTGGAAAAGAGGGGAAGGGATGGAAGAAGGGAAGCATGGAAGAAGAAAGTGAAGGGAAGAAAGATAGGAGAGAGAGAGGAAGTTAGAGGAAAAATTACAGAGAAGAAATAGCAAGAAGGATATAGAGAGAACCAAAAAGAAAAGAAAGAGTGGGAGAGAAGGATAGTGGGAAAGAGGAAGAGAGCGGTAGAAAGGGAGTGAACGAGAAAGAGAGAGAAAGGGAAAAAAGAGAAAGAGGGAAAATACAGATAAAATACAGATGGATGGATAGACAAGTGGATAGATATATAGATAGACAGATAGAAAGACAGGCAGCTAAAAAGATAGGTTGGTAGATACATGCATTGGAAGTAGGGAGTTATGTAGACAGGTAGGTAGGTATATTGATAGATAGATAGATAGATGGATGAAGGAGTGGACAGATTGATAGGAAGGTAGATAGAAAAATAAATAGATGGATAGATAGATATAGAGAGATAATGGGAAGTAAAGGAAAGATCTGAAAAGAGAATGAGAATGTGGGAGGAAAAGAAGAAAGAGGGAGATATGCGAGCTAAGAGAGAAAGAGAAGAGAGAGAAAGTGGATAAACGAAGAAAGAGAAAAAGAGAATGAGAACGAAAGATTGAGAATTTTGGCAACACTCTTGATGTTCTACAGGCAATGGCTACCTGAGACATTCTGAGAGAATGTGGTACAGCATTCGCTGGGATTGAGAGATTTTTTCAGAAAAGAGATTTTTTTCATAGGTTTATTGTAGTTAGATGACTGTATAAGAGATAATAATCTAATTATTTAGATTAATTAAATAAGCCAGGAATCATTTATTTACTTATGAAAGAAACAATATTAAATATGTCAGCTTTTAAGTCAAACACGATTAACAGATTCCTTGCGAATGCGGTGGTTAATTACACAAAGGCTGCAGACCCTGCAAATCACTGAGTACCACTGGTACATTAAAGATCCTTCAAATAGTGCAAAAGATCTCACTCCAAAGTAGGTGCAGTGAAGTTATTATTGTGACTGCACCACGCTAAGACGTAAAAAAGTTAAAAGAAAATCGTCCCAACATCCAATCCTGCAGAATGAAAGAACAGATTGAGATGATATATTCGCAAATAATGCCAATTTTATTTTGAAATGTTATGGATTATGTTATATAAATAAAAGTTAATTTCAATTCGTAGTATAGAAAAAGTAAGAAGTCATGTTCGCTAGAAAAAAAAATCAACAAAAGGCTTTTGAAAAACATCCATGTAAAAAATTACAATATCGCTTGCAACCCATAATATTTAATTGTCAATTAATAAATAACTGTAATAGAAAACTAATTATTCATAATTTTATAAAGGTAAATTACATTATTCCTAGTATTTTGATATTAACCGATTAAATGGTTTTGATCATCCTGTTATGTAATTTTACTTTTATATGAATTATATCTTCCTTTTATTTATTACCAGTATTAATATCAAAATGAACTACGCAATATGAATCGGGACGTTTTTTATTTAAAACTGAATTTTTTTTATTTAGTTTAGTTACCAAACTAAATATCAAATCATGCAAAAACCCCATTTAAATTAACACTCCTAGTATTTAAGCACAAGAAAAGTTTGTGTGGTCGTATTTTTGTATTGCAATCAAGGTGCATTACTTGCTTACTCCCTGTCTCTATTTTGTCTTGTGTAACCTGGAAAAAAATGGTACTATGCAGGTGCAAGAAGCATGTCAATCGTGAGCTTCCTATTTCAAAAATACAACGCGACCAGCAATATTTCAGGGAAAACTATAAGGATTTTTGTTTTTACCATCTAAAAATGGCGGGATATTCAGAATTACCCAATGCAAAAAGACGAATGGATTGGCGCTTCGAACCGGCGGAATGTGTGGATCCGTCTTGTTTACTATTCAGTGAAACGTTGACGACGCGCATTTGTACTTTATCCGTGTTAATGAATAACGCGTCGAGCAAAAAGCTAAAAATTAAAACGAGTTGATCAAATTTTAACTGCAAATGGGAAAATGGATTAGGGACTTGTTACACAAACGCACTTCTAAATCTTTTCTTATTACGATTTCAAATCTTAAAAAATAATAAACCTGGCGTATCGTAGGTCTAATAAACTTGTTAATTTCATATAAAGCAATCAAATAATCGAGGCTGAATGAACCCTCTAAATTATGTTTATCAACTGACCCAAATTTTTTTGACTTCCCAGTTCTGTACTACACCAAATTTTTCCGTTCGATAAACGGATTTGTTGTCCTTAAGACCATAGAATTCACTGTAATTCATTTGCCAAACTTTCAAAAATAAAATGTAAATAATTTTTATATTAATAATAAAATGATTATTCGGAAATCGTGAGATGCGATCTGGGGTGATGTAGGTTTCAGAAAAACATTTTTTTATCGTGCCTACGTTTCGATCTTTCTTGAGATCATCTTCAGTGCCTGGGATTTACAAACATTGTTTAAATTTAACAAATACATGTAGGATGTGGAAAAAAGTGAATTTATACAATGCAAAAAATATTGAAAAAATATATAAAAGTATTTCTACGCCCTTTGATTGAATATAATAAAAAAAATTTTTTGCATTGTACAAATTCACTTTTTTCCACATCCTACATGTATTTGTTAAAATGTTTACAATGTTTGTAAATCCCAGACCCTGAAGATGATCTCAATAAAGATCGAAACGTAGGCACCATAAAGAAAATGTTTTTCTGAAACCTACATCACACCAGACCGCATCTCACGATTTCCGAATAATCATCGACTAACGGTCACTAATCACTACATATTAATAATAATAGAAAAATAATTTTTGACTAATTTTATTTTAAGAATTCCGTGTTTTCAGCGGGGTTATGTTACAAAAATAGTATATGAATTATCGAATTTTTCAACATAAAAAATACGATCCAAAAGAGAAATTTACCATAATTCTAATACCGGATGGCTCATGAAAATAAAAGTAGGGGCGAACGTCGCAAACCCGTACTGCCACCAGTCTAAGCTAGTAATTATGTACATTTATTACAATTGATTATTTTTAGTTAATATTTATGAAAAGTATTGGTTGAGACACAAAAGTCAGTGTCATTAGCGGGATTCGAACCCACGATCTTTGGCTAAATACGCCGCTACTCTACCACTTGAGCCATCGTGACTTTGAGCCGCTCGGACACTAACTTCCCATCTCAACCTCACCTCTCGAATTTTCCTTCCTTTTTGCCATTTTTCGACCAATACCTTTCATAAATATTAATTAATTGAAAAATGTTAATTGGTCAATCGGACCACGATCTGTACGGGATTATTATTAGTAGTCAAATTCAGACTTGTAGCGGAAGTGAAACGTCTGAAACTTCGTCCAATAAATACATTCTACAGTAAAACAGGAGGCTGTCGTATATAGTTGTTTATTTCAAACTATGTATTTTAATTAAACCTATTTTCATGTAAAACAAATTAAACAAGATCAGAAATTCTCACCGTCCCTGTCATCTAATTCATCCAACAAAACCGGCACTCATCTCTACAATGTCCATGTGTCCAAGCAAGAAGGTGATTTTTTTATTTTTT